GTCACGACTTCATAATCGCATAACGGTATAGGACAAATCAGCTACATATGAAATTGGGTCCTTTCCTTAGCTTGTCTGATGAAAGTTGTAAATAATAATTGCCCTATGTTCTACATTCCGAGGTACCTGGGTACCTACCTAGGTTTATACTTCGACGCTTGACTCTCCCGCGGTCGGCCAATCACCGATGTCAGTGATGACGCCACTGCTTAGTGCCTGAGGTATCCACATATTCTTCCCCCGATAGCCTTGAACCTGGGAAGCTTTCTTTCTGAGTCTCACAGATCACAGGCTTTGAAAATGCAATCGTTTCGACGCGCTGCTCGCGTGGCTTCACGTACAATTCGAAACCAGCCATGGCGACCAGGCAAATCCCCCGTGAAGCCCGCGGGGCCACATCGGACTTTATCGGCGCAATGGAAGACCACCCGGGCATTGCATACCGTGTCACCGCGAAAATCAGCAGCAGTTATCGCGGAGTCAAATGAAAGAGACTCATCCAACCCAGCGATGTCATTCCCCTGTCTTGACGCCCAAGAAGCAAAGTCAGCGCAGCTCTCCGCTCGGTCGCTGCAATCCGGACCCGAACCTTCATACACCACCGGGAGACACGAATTATACCACTGTGAACAGCCACTTCTACTCGACTGGGGTGGTGTGCTCACAGAATTTGACGTTGCCTACGAAACATGGGGCCAATTAAATGGTGACAAGAGCAATGCCATCCTCCTGCATACTGGCTTGTCCGCCTCAAGCCACGCCCACAGCACAGCGTCTAACCCCAAGCCCGGCTGGTGGGAGAAGTTTATTGGGCCCGGATTGCCACTGGATACCAATAAATACCATATCATATGCACTAATGTCCTCGGAGGATGTTACGGTAGTACAGGGCCGTCTTCCCTCGATCCGTCCGACGGAAAGCGGTACGCAACTCGCTTCCCGATCCTGACTTTAGACGATATGGTACGCGCTCAATTCCGACTTCTTGATGGCCTTGGAATCAAAAAGCTCGCTGCCTCTGTCGGATCTAGCATGGGTGGCATGCAAAGTCTCGCAGCCGGCGTCCTCTTCCCGGAGCGGGTCAACAAGATTGTCAGTATCAGTGGTTGCGCCCGCAGCCACCCTTACAGTATAGCGATGCGGCACACGCAGCGGCAGGTGCTGATGATGGACCCCAACTGGGCTCGTGGGTTCTACTACGACGGAATCCCACCCCACTCTGGTATGAAGCTAGCGCGCGAGATCGCAACCGTGACGTACCGTAGCGGGCCAGAATGGGAGATGCGATTTGGTCGTCAGCGTGCAGACCCCAGCAAACAGCCTGCCCTGTGTCCCGACTTCCTTATTGAGACGTACCTCGACCATGCTGGTGAGAAGTTCTGTCTCGAGTACGATCCCAACAGTCTTCTTTATGTCTCTAAGGCCATGGACTTGTTTGATCTAGGCCATGCTCATCAGACTGCCACTCTGAAACGCCGCGCAGAGTCTGAGTATCGTATTGCGCATGGCGGTGACGCACTTAATGCCTCGGACCCCGCTTGCAGTCTGACTCTTCCAGACAAGCCCTATGAGGAGCAGCCTGGATCAGCCTCCAAGACCCCACTGGACGAGTCTGTATCCGCCGAACCAGTGGACGGTCCTCCTCGCGATCTTGTTGCCGGCCTTGCGCCTCTCAAGAATCACCCTGTGCTTGTTATGGGTGTGGCGAGTGACATTCTCTTCCCGGCATGGCAGCAGCGGGAGATCGCCGAGACGCTCCGTGCTGGAGGCAACAAAAGAGTCGAACATGTCGAGCTTGGTGACGACTTATCACTCTTTGGCCATGACACTTTCTTGTTGGATCTCAAGAACATCGGTGGCGCATTGGGCAAGTTCCTACGCTAATCGCGTGGCTTGTTGTGTCTGAGACGATGGTAAATAATATAAATCTGTACATTCGTCGTTAAGCGTACGACTTTTGGCATTGGGGAGGCGTTTTACATTTGCGAAATGGCATACCTCTTCTCTATCCTTATAAGCAGCTCTAGGGAATCAATGGATACCCGGATACCCCCTGTCAGTCCAAGTAGCTATTGCATGAGAAAGGAACACAAGTCTATACAAATTATTTCATTTGATTCTATCAATATACTTAATGTGTAAGAACTCTCGCCCTCAGTTTGCTCTCGGTTTTCATAACTGGCTTCCAGCCGTATACATAGTCCACGGACACGAAATGTCACGGATGGAGCAGTCTCAGGCGGATGCCTGCAGAATTGGCTTATGTTCGTCTTCAAGACAAACTCATCACAGGGCGAGTAGAAGAAACGAACAAAATGACACAACCTACCAAGTCCATGATTCCAGAATGACAACCCATTCTCTAAATAACAAAGAGAAACAAAAGCCAGGATATCTTATACGAATGTCACCCCCTAAGTAAGTATCACCAACAAACCAGGAGAACCTATAGCGGTTCATAGAAAGACCGAGTAAGAAACATAACGCCCACAAATCCCACGGGCCCATAAGACGCATACCGGTAACAAATCAGTTCATCAGACAGAGTAGGAAATCTCAGAAAGTCACTGATAGTCGGATGTTTATTGCCGATTAGCCCTTTTGGGACATCACCAAGATATCATCCCAGGGCTTGAATGAATATGGCCGAAAATGAGGGAGAAGAAAAGAGATAAGAAAGGGGGAGGGAGCAGGTGTATGTCGGAGATCAGTGCAGGCCCAAATTCCAAAAAGCAAAGTTGCTTTCATTCGTTTGCAAGCTAATGCGCTGGAATATACATGTGGACGCGCCTCAGCGCGTCACATAATGAATGGCTCTCTTCAACAGGGGGGAACAACAACCGCATATAACATATACCATTCCATCGCAGTGGCTGTATGATATATCCTCAAAAGACTTGCTCAAAAAGGTAGTAGCTTATTATCTCAATATTGCTAAAAGATATGCGGTCAGATCTTAGAATTAGCAGGTGTTGTGGCTGTGTTGGTAGCCTCATGAAACAAGTGTTACCGTTGGCTTGTCTCCACCGACTCGGCATTGGAGTCATCTTGAAGACAGCATACAGCCACTTCATCTAATCAAGGGTGCCAAAGCTGAGCTTGATAGATGTTCCATCGGGAATATTGGACAAGAAGCAGAGGTCAGTTAAGTCAGGGGATTTACATTCTCCCGTTCCGGTGCCATCCTGCTTGCTGCCTAAGGCAGAACTGATTTTTCAATACCTAGAGCTTTCCTACTGTGGGGTCTCTTTATATGAGATATACTCTATTGGTACGTAGCCTAAGAATGTTTTTATCAAGTCATTTGAATTTGTATCTCTTTGACTCAGCGGGCTTCAGGCGTTCGCTCAGATCAACAATCGCAGCGGCGCAGGGCGTTTGCTCTAAACTCCGTTCCCTTCTTATATGTAGAACTGCTAAATTCTCTCATTCAAGGCGGTTTGGCCGAGTGGTCTAAGGCGATTGACTAGAAATCAATTCTCTTCGGAGGCGCATGTTCGAATCATGCAGCCGTCGCAACGATATCTTTTTTTTTCTCTTTTTTTCCCGGTTCTTCCAAGGTGTGCAATGATCCCTCTTCGGAATCCAATTTTCTATTTCTTCGCCATTCAAAGGAAGATGTACCTTTGTACCGAGATGTCCCCGACCAATACTAGCATATCTGCAGAATGCCTGATCAGGTCAGAACAACACCGAGCCTGCTGACTGAACTACCCAATTCAGACATAAACAGCGCCGCTAAAGTGTGGATCCTATGTCCCATTCCCCACACTCGATGTCATATGTACTACCCTCCACGTACAAAAGGAATTGAAGTAAGCCTGTTTCCCACAATGCTAGAGAATATATCTTCATATCGCAATCATACCTCTAGCAGGCATGGCACAGTCGAAGGAATGGCAGAAGATGCTCCGCGGAGAGCTATACTGGGCGTGGGACGAGGATCTGCAGGCAAATCGAACAAGGTGTAAACAGGCCTGTGATGATTTCAATGCCGCCGGGGCTGCAACAAGGCGTCGAAAAGTAGAGCTGTGGAGAAAGTGAGCTTGAACGGTGTGATCAGAGTGATCATTTAATATTGCCCGGGTGACCTTTGGGCTGACCATATGTGTTTCCAGTATTGTTTGCGATACACGTCCAATGCCACAATTGAACCCAGACCCAAAAGAAGACGAGGCACTTTTCGAAGAGACTGATCCCTTCGTTGATGGACCAATTTCCGTGGACCATGGTCTGAATTTTAAGGTCGGCAAAGGCACCTTTCTTAACTTCAACCTTCTCGTGCTCGACACTTGCCTGATCACTATCGGAGAACGGGTACTGTTTGGTCCAAATGTCTGCCTCTATGGTGCGACCCACCCCATGGATCCGGCTGTTCGACAAGGGTTGAAGGGACCAGAGTGTGGAAAGGAAGTGCATATCGAAGATGACGTATGGATTGGTGGTAGTGTGATCGTGCTGGCAGGCGTGCGAATCGGAAAGGGGAGCACGGTTGGAGCTGGCTCGGTGGTAACAAAGGTCAGCAGACTGAGATTGAGTATCTCTAATTCCTCGTTGAGAGAAGCAGGACTGACTTTTGCAGGACGTCCCTCCCTTTCACTTTGCTGCAGGCAATCCCGCCCGAGTCATTCGTCGGATTGAAACGAGCATGAACCCTGAGAAGCAGCAATGATTGTCGGTTTGGCATGGAAATTATTGTTTGCTGCAGCTGACTTGAGTGTTCTCTAGTAGATTTGTCCAATAGAATTCACTTTTGAGCGCCAGATGAATTTTGGTCTTCGTACCAGGGTTCGACATAAGATATAGAAGCAGGGTATTACACGGCAGGAGATGGTGTGGCCATAGGGGACGGGACTTCAATTATAAGATTGCATCTTCCAGAATGATTAAACCAAGTTACAAGATTGTGAACCCACCCATACTGACTCGGGCAATTCTAAATTGCGCCGATACTCCCCCTCCAAAGAAAACCGTCACACAAGAGCATCTCACCAACCCAAATGGAACGAGTAGAAAGTCATAGTGAGCTCATAAATCACGAAGTCGTGGATGAGAGCAATGCTGGCCCTCAACCTGAAGCAGCAAGCAGCTTTTCGGTATCCGATGATGATATTCTGCGCGCGCAAGGTCATGAAGCAGTATTCAAGAGATCATTCTCTGTCGTTGCATCCCTCGGTTTTGCATTCAAGTATGTTGCTATCTGATTATATTTTGCAGTGATTATGCTGAAGTGTCCAGTATCACGAATGCTTGGGTAGGCGCACTAAGCAACTTCGGACAAAATCTCATATATGGAGGGTCACAAGTGGCTCTGCTTTCTGTTATCATTGCTTGCTTTGTGCAGTGGATCATAACCCTCGGACTCTCTGAACTGGCTTCGGCATTTCCCTCATCTGGAGTAAGTCATCTACAGCGTGCTTGTTCACCAGGAAGCACAGCCTTGCTGAATTGCTGGCACCATCCTACAGGGCCAGTACCACTTTGTCTACATTATCGCCCCCCAGAAGCACAAGAGATTTGCTGCCTTCATGACAGGTTGGATGTCTATACTCGGATGGTGGATGGTGACATGTTCTGGCTTGTCTCTTGTGGCCAAAGCAGCCCTGGGGCTTGGTCAATTTCTATATCCGGATTTCGAGATTAAACAATGGCATGAATACTGCGTGTATCTTGCTTCTATCATTGTAACAAGTCAGACACCACGACTGTCAAGTTGGTTTGTTCTCATTGCTGACTCGGATCATCGTAATAGTGACACCCCTTCTCTTATGTCCCAAAAAGATACCACTCATTACATCATGGTCTTTATATCTCGCCTTGTCTGGATTCGCCATTTGGTTTATAACCACTCTCGCCATGAGCCAACAGACAAATACTAGGTCACCTATAGTTAGGTCCGGTCAAGGCACAAGTGGGTGGAACAATGGCACTGCCTGGCTTCTCGGAATCATCAATTCAATGTATTGCTTCGGTGCCAGTGACGGAGCAATCCATATCGCCGAAGAAATGCGATCACCAGGTCGTCGACTCCCACAAATCATGTCAGCCAAGACCGGTTTCATTCTCTGTCTGTGACACCCAATTTGGTTACCGAGCTTACTGACCAAGCACAGGAACATGACAATGGCCATTGGCCTTTGCACAGCAGTACCACTATTAGCAGTCCTGATAGTTGCCATGGAGGACATGGACCGAGTAATGAATTTCGGAATGCCTGCTGTGGAACTATTATACGAGGCAACAGGATCAACACGGGTGACTGTCGCACTGAGCGTACTCCTGACAATCATATATATAGCATGCCTTCCTCCACAGTGGGTCAGCTGTGGGCGTCTTGCATGGGCCTTCGCAAGAGATCGAGGTACTCCATTCCCCGATTTCTTCGACAAGATAGACAAGCAGCTCCAATTCCCGCTTCGCACGACTATAGCCTCGATGGTTTTTGCTGCTATCTACGGTGTCATATATCTTGCCAGCACTACGGCTTTCAACTCTATCATTACCTCGGCCGTTACGCTATTGAATTTGAGTTACGCAATTCCTCAGGCCATCCTCGCTACGCGAGGTCGTAAGCAGTGTCTGCCAAAGCGGCCACTGGATCTTGGTCGATGGGGCTATATCTGTAATATTTTTGCTCCGCTGTGGATTATAGTCGTGGGTGTTATGGTATGTTTCCCACCTACTCTTCCAGTCACTCTTGGCTCGATGAACTACAGTGGACCCGTTTTGGTAGGACTGTTTCTTATCATTCTTGTTTTCTGGATTTTGATAGGTGATGAGTTCAAAGGTCCTAATATTGACTGGGAGATGTTGAAACTCAAGAATGAGGCTTTAAGCGACGCTTCGACAGGTATTGTTGAGCCGAACATCAACCGAACAACCTCGCTAGATTTGTGAGGCTTGAGAAGGATGGACATGCAATAATTTTGGGTCCGCTATTAGCTATGACCTTTACCAGTTTTGTCAAGGCTTAGCAATCAAATTGTGCTTGTATTCAAGGAACTAATACGGGAGCAAACTACCACTAGTTGAAGAGGTGGAACAATTTGTGATTTAATATCACATAAAGATCATGAGAGTTATGTATTAGAAACCACCAGGCCCCATACCAAATTAAACAACCATCATGAGTTGATTCGGGGAAGAAGTGTCCGAGATCCCAACCACATATTGGTAATAATATATGCCCTCAGATTGAAAACTACCATGTTTTGTCACTCGTCATCGGCATACTTGTCGTTTCCTTGAAAGGCGTACAGACGAAGCACATATACAGGGCCTCGGAGTATGAAACAGCATTTTTTCGTCACTGGGCTATTACACGAGGACGGGTATCTGGAACATCTCATGACGAAGGTAGTATTCGGAAGCGAACGGGGCGATTGGCGAGGAAAGCCGAAGGTGTGACATTTGAAGGTCTAGAATATGTACAACATTGCTGAGCGACGTTAGTTAAATGCATTCAAATATTGACGTGATACCAAGACAACACAGAACGAGAAATATCAAAGGTCTGAGTCTCTTCAGATCTCTGTTCATTGCTCAATCACACAATTGTGGGCCGATGTCTTCTTCCACTCCGAAGTATCAGGGGGATGAAGTCCATGGCCCGACGGATCATTCAAATGACATGTCATGAGAAGCTCTTGTGAGGGTTATCGTCATCAAGACTTGACATGAGATATTACATTGAATCTGCACTGTAGCCAAAGACTGGGGAATAAATTTGAAAAAGGACATACCTTCTTGATGAATATCAAAGAAGCCCAACGAGGGCATCACTGTTGCATTTTCTCAAGCGATAAGATGTGGTTGTTGGCGTTGACTGGCAAAGCTTTATTAGAATCAACATCATGTTGTGCCTAGACATGACTTTATTGGGCAGGCTGCAGTGCGACATCAATTAAGATAGCTGCCCCAGTCTGCCAACAACACCATTCTATCGGATGAGATGATTCAAAAGAATCGATGACATAGTTAGTGGTAAGTGGCTAGAGACTCGCAATTGTAGGTTTCTGAGGGATAGCACGCGTGTTGTCAATGTCACGGCGCGCGGAGAGCGTTTACCGCCAATCCTACCGCCTTACTTAAAGTCCGCACAATTGCTTGGGGCTGCAGCACGTGATTGCCAGCGTTATTCCACTGATGAACGCATTGGCTTGCAGATACATTCCGTTATTGGAAGTTCATGCCTGCATCGGCTACTTGTGATGGTCAGTACACCCAACATCTATAATGGCTCACCGAGCATCCAAATGGTGGCAAGAGCCCAGCGATGCCGACCTCGACTACGGATTCGATTCTGACGAACTGGATACCAGATATAACAAACTTGGTCGAAACATCTCCCACGAAAATCAAAGCAAGTCGAGAAACCCCCAGGACACAGAGGATAAGGGTGTGATTGGAATCATGTCTTCTTGGCTTCACCGTCAGGCGGGTTCCTCCCATGGACAGCTTGCGACAGCGGCTGTTGTGTCAGGCGCAGCTGTCGCAGGTGCTATCTTTGGCTACCAGTCATACAAGCGCAAGGAAGCTGTTCATGATCTAAAAGCTTCAATCCCGAGCTTGGATGATCTGCATCCCGCGGAAATGGTAAGCTGCGCCGGTGAAGCTGTGCATTCAGTGCCTAGCAAGCTACAGGGCAAAAAGGACTGACCCGGAGAACATATAGCTTACCGATTTCGGTGCTGCCTCGAATGGAGTACAGCTGAGCAAGGAAGATGAGCGCAGTGCAGCTTTGGCTCGCAGAGCGCAAAAGGGGAGACTATGATGATGGTATGTGACCTTTCTATGGCTTACATCCGCAAATTTATCTGACTCGACCTGCCTCCCTTTGATAGACTTGATTCTTGAACAGCTTGCCCGCAATCGTGTGTTCCTCGGTGATGAAGGCCTCGCAAAACTTCGATCGTCATTCGTTGTCGTTGTCGGCTGTGGTGGTGTCGGTTCACATGCCGCTGCCTCACTGGCCCGATCAGGTGTCTCCAAAATCCGGCTCATCGATTTTGATCAAGTCACACTATCGTCATTGAACCGGCACGCCCTTGCAACATTGGCTGATGTTGGCACACCGAAGGTCCACTGCATCCGGAGGCGACTGGAACAAATCACACCGTGGGTCATGTTCGATTGTCGGAATGAGCTTTATGGAAAGGCCGCATCTGAGGATCTTCTCGGCCCGTGGACTCTGACACACGACGGAGAAGGCCGTCGACCAGATTTCGTGTTGGATTGTATCGATAACATCACATCCAAGGTAGAGTTGTTACACTACTGCCACTCGAATTCCTTGCCTGTGATCTCCTCGATGGGTGCAGGATGCAAGTCGGACCCGACCCGCGTCGTCGTCGGTGACATCTCGCTCAGTACGGATGATCCTTTGTCCCGCAGTACACGCCGCAGGTTGAAGCTTCTCGGTGTTTCGTCTGGCGTTGCAGCTGTATTCTCGACAGAGAAACCGGGACCGGGCAAGGCTAGCTTACTTCCTCTTCCTGAAGATGAATTCAACAAAGGTCAAGTTGGTGAGCTCGGAGTTCTTCCTGACTTCCGAGCCCGCATCCTCCCAGTACTGGGAACCATGCCTGCAGTCTTTGGTTACACCTTAGCCAACCACGTTATCTGCACCATCACTGGATACCCGCTTGATTATAACATGGGTGCCAAGGGCCGCGAGAAACTTTACGACACCATCTTGAGTGCTTTGCTAGGCATGTATGAACGAATGATCCGACAAGTCACCGGTCAAGATACCGTGGGACTTCGTTTACCCCTCAGCAAGGATGACATTGCATTCGTGGTGGAGGAAGTATATCGAGGAAAGAGTGCGGTCAGCGGCTTGTCTAACAGATTGGCTCTCATTCCCTGGCAAACTCCTACACAAGGATGGAATATGGATCTGAGCCTCGACAAGGAAGGACAAAAGACCATCCCGATTAACATTAATGACTTGGTTTGCATGACCAAGGAGGAAGCACTGCGACACGAGAATGAGATACTCAAGGGCGGCAAGAAGGTGGAAGAGGTATATGATGAGGCTGTTCTCCAGCGCGTAAATCTCCGGAGACGGGAAGCGGAAGAGTATGATCAATATCGTGGATAATGTAAAATGTACAATTTAACAAAAGGAACAAAAATCAAGTTTGAAATGTCAAGAGCATGAAGAACATGAAGAAGACAAGCATTTACACTTCGGGGCCTAACTTGAGGAAGCGGGTCTTTAGATATACGTCAGAGCCGCGAGGGATAAGCTTTTTCTGCCTCTTCACGTTCACCTACTCCCGCTCGATTTTGCCGGACAGATGCAGCACATATGAAGCGGGCGATACACCTTAGTTCAAGGATATAAAGCCCATCTGCGCGTATGAAAATGGCGTCTCGCGACTCCCATCCGCATGACTTCGAGTCTAACAGCGCAGAAAACGACTTCTACCCGACCACAACACACCATCCCTCCTACTCGAAACAACTTAAGCAAAATTCTCGCCCACTGATAGATTTTGCCAAAAATGGATGGCAATCTAGAGACCCTGGAGGTCTTCAGCGCGGTTTCAGCGTGGCGGATGACGTCGAATCCCCGGGATGGACCCAAATGGCTCTCTCGGTAGCTTCCGCACCACGTTTCCGACGTTGGGCGATAAGCTATGCCACGTTGTTTATTTTCGCATGTATTGGTTGGCGAATGCTACTTTCTCCGCGACCACAAGAGCAAAGCTCGCTGTCGCATTCACTCGATCCGAGTTCGAAGACAGAGACAGTTGGGTTGTTCGGGGCAAATTCGACCCCTCAATTCGATGGCCTGCTTCATATGTATACATTAGACTCAGGTTTGGTGCCTCAGGATCTAGCAGGAGTGGATGCAGCGAAGTCTGGTCGGAAACGGCTTATCATCGTGGGCGATGTGCATGGCTGTAGAGAGGAGTGTAAGATATCCCCGCAAACCACCGGAAGACTTAGGATTGACCAGCATACAACAGTGGTGCAACTTCTTGAAAAAGTCTCCTTCAAGCAAAAAGATGGCGATCACCTTATCTTTGTCGGTGACCTGATCAACAAGGGACCAGACAGTACAGGAGTTGTGGACTTGGCTCGACAGCTTTCGGCATCTAGTGTCCGTGGGAACCACGAGGATCGGGTTCTGCTTCTTCGACGCGAGATGGTGAAGGCTCAAACTCTTGCAAGTCCCGAGGACGATCAAGAGTCCCATCTCTCATCTAGAGAACTTGGCGAGCGTAAACTCGCGCGCTCTTTGAGCGATGAGCAAGCTCAGTGGCTACAAAACTGTCCCGTGATCCTGAATGTTGGCCAAGTTCAAGGGATGGGCCAGGTGGTTATCGTTCATGCAGGACTCGTACCGGGCATCGAGCTTGAGAAGCAAGACCCCGCTAGCGTGATGACTATGCGGACCATTGATTTAGATACGCATGTACCCAGTCCTAAAAAAAAGGGCATGAACTGGGCTAAGGTATGTAATGTCTTTCTATTTCACCCCTCCAATCTCGCCGCCGGACTGATAAACTTTTAATCTAGATGTTTGATAAACATCAATCCAAACTATATTCGAGCCTCGAGACTTCAACTGAAGCTCCCCTTGCGAACACCATGACGGTTGTATATGGTCACGATGCTTCTACCTCTCTTTCTATCCGCACGTTTACAAAAGGCCTTGACTCGGGTTGTGTAAAGGGTGGAAAGCTCACAGCTTTGGTTATAGAGAATAGCGGAAAGCAAAGTATTGTACAGGTATCATGTCGAGACTATCTCAAGGAATGATAGCTCTTCCAGATAGCTTCCAGCCCAGCTTCATAGGTAGACGTATTCTTATGAGGTGGCGACTATGAACAATATGCTACATAATGACGCATGTGAGGGACAGTCACGATCACGACGTATGAATGGCCTTTAGAAATCCAACAAATCCAGGATATTGCGGTTCAGAGCTTTCCTGATCGTACTTTCACTACTGGAGAGAATCAAATTGAAAACGACGAGCAAAGTCATCGCCCGTATGTGATCCGGTAGCTCGAGGTCACACGACACTCAAGCCGAGGATGGACAAGGATCCAAAGTGGTAACGACAACCGCTACGTCAAATCCTCATGAGTTATTAGCTTGATACTCACTATTAATACGAGTCAAACAGGGTGCACTTGTTATTTGTGCATAAAAGCCAACTCTCATAAGTGGAAGTTTAGGGCAGACGCTCCACCTTTTTCTCCCTTATATCCTATATACAACGATAATAATTCTTCCATAGATCTATCAAGTATAGTTATAAGTATGGTCATATCGTTACATCTATAATTTAGAATTGAAGTTCATATACAAAGACAACAAAGATACCTAAACTTAGTATTAGAGCCAGCGGCTTTTATAACCTTGGAAATGATTCCAGGATACACAGTACTTCCAAAATCCCCTATACGAGCTTAATTCAACGTCCCGCCCAATTTTGCAAACGGGTTCCCCTTTTCCCTTCTCTTCGGGGTATTTTTTTTACCCCAAGAGTAAGATCGAGCATGGGCATGTACTTGTTTGAGGATGACAAACTCCCACGGATGACGGCAATGAGGGCTAAAAAAGGGCTAAAGCCATGATGTAATCTTCCATGTAGAAACTTTCTAGTCAGCCAGACTCGACTCGCACGTCGAAATCCCCCTCGCTCAAATAAGGGGCCAAAATAAAGGATCATAGCCCCCGGTGCTTGCTAAGAAAGTATCTGCCTATACTCGCCACCAGCCGCTATTAACAAGACTATGACGCGTCTTTGCTAAACCAGTGATTAATAAATACGACCAGAAAGATCAAACCTCGGTATCTATTCAAACTAGTCTCTCATCCAGTTGAAACTCCCGTATTCACCTCAACAATCATCACCATGGCAAAAATTTTTCAACAAGTCTTTGGGAAATCTCCATCTCCCCCAACTCAGATCAATATCAACGTGACGACCTCATCGACAACGCTTCACAAACACGGTTCCAACGACCCATTCACACTTACCCTCGAGGCGACTCTTCCCGAATCCACAGGCACACCCAACAAGGCCCTCACCATCCTCACCTTCGACACTCTCCTGGATCCTAAAGGCAATGCTCTCTACGAAAATGGGATAGAATTTGTGAATACCAACACAGACGCCCATGCAAAGCGCACTAGTTTGACCGCACATCATAGTTTCGGCGGCAAGTCTAACATCCTTATTGACCCCCAGTTCGAGCAGTACTTTGTCACTCTCGAGCCCGGTGTGCCGTACCGAGTGACGCATACCATGAGGTCCTGTCCCAGAATTCCGCAAGAGAGTGATTCAAAGTCTGAAGCAGGAAAGGCCTCACTGCAGGAGGGCGAGGCAACCGCTAAGGATGAAGCTATTGTTGCCGCGGCATTCTCTCACGTCACGTCCCTAGACGTGGGATCTACGTATCGGGTGGATTTAGGGGATAAGATGGACCGGATCTCATGGTATCGATATGGATCAAAGGAGGAAGTTTTGAATGGACAGAGTGCTAGAGTGGGACTTGTGCATAGTCTGATGGGGGCTAAAAGGCATCCTGAGCGGGTAGGAGACAGTGAGATGCAGGCGATTCCGCTTGTGATGCAGGGGCTAGCTAGTTTCACGGTCGAAGAGTAAAAACCGCAACAGACTGTAGTTATATTTCTTTTTGACATTGCTTCGTTTCATGGGTGAGTAGCCCGTCTTTTTTTATCCTAACTTGAACTTGTCTTTGGGCCTCTCCACTTCAACCTTCGATAAATAACGGGGCTCGTATGATATTGTCCGAGAACCTTGCCCGCAGGCTTGTGAAAGCCTAGCTTTGTAGATGAAGAAAAGCCGGTTCTTGACAACTTGTCAGATTGGCACGCGGTTGATTGTGGAGATTTGCTGTGAGTCAGGTCCGAGTTGTACCTATCTCATCAATTTCAAATTCTACAATGTGACGATCAACTTGATGTCATCATCAGTCAGGGGTCTCTCACCTAGTAAGCGAGAGATACAATATATAGCAAAGCTAACAATTAATGACAAGCTCATGCTGTACTGTTCTCGCGCCAACAAACAGCGGCATCTAGCCTAGCATAAAACTAGACGACCTCAGTCACTCAGAGAAAGAAAACAGGAATTGATGGTCCTAGGCAAGCCGATCTCAAACAATCCTCCATCATTGCCGCCTCTAGTATTAGTGAAATGTGGGATGTACAAGTAAACCGCCCCCATGGCTCCAGGCCTTGGGGCTTCAGAGCCAGAAGACAGCAATGGGGCTAAGTTCTGGGGCGAATACTAGGATTTCCTTCCTTCATTTAATTATTCAAAGGTGAGTGGTCTAATGAATACCAGGAGCATTGAGAAACAGGTTTGCTATTTGCTTCAGTAAAAGTCAGTCATAAATACATACAATTATGGGGCCAGGTATCATGAATAGATGCAACGAGGGGGCCGGGGATCGGCCCTAGATACAATGAGGGGCTACAAGCTGTGCTGAATTGAAACTATGGAATACGTCTTCTTCAGGAGGATGACATGGCTTGATCCCAAGTAATGAAGAAGGCCATTGGGACATGGGCCTCAAGATATAAAAGAGGAGCGCTGCTGCTTCAGTTGCACATATATTCTATCAGCAAAGAAGTGTATTTCCAAGAATCACCTTGGTCTTCCCAATATCTGTCAAAATATTGAATCCTCAAAAAGAATCTCAAGATGCGTGGCTTTCTTACCCTCGCCGTCTCTCTTTCGGCCCTGTTTTTCACCGGAACAGCGGCCTATCCCACTGAGTTTGTTCTCCTTGATATCTCTCAAGCACAGGACTAATAGGAGTCATTTTAGCCCCGTTGATCTCGAGACCAGAGGCAACATTGCCAAGCGTTCGCTACCAAAGCTCGTTCACTTCGACAATAACAACCCCGATGACCGAAAGAAAAACCTCAAAATTCGACAAGCCTTTCGAGACAGTCTTCAGCTAATGGATCATTCTGTTCAACAGCTTCAAGACAACGTGTTCAAGCAGTACTTCAATGAAGGTGACAGGAGCAAGGCTCAAGATGTGTTCAAGAAGGCCCTTGGCGGTGATCCCGGCAGAGGTGCGAGTGAACTTGTAGACTTTTACAACTAGAATATAGGGACCTGTGAAAACGACGCCGAAAATGACAGCATCTGGCGCCAGAAACAGCCTCCTTTCCACCCGTAACTTTGGACAGCGAGCCGCCGCTTGAACGCCCGCTCTAATGCGGACAGACTTAGGTTTGCCACCGAACTAAAGCATTATTAGACTCATACGAAAATTCTCCCGGGCTATCTGGCTTCACAATAGCAGTCTCTCGAAACCAGGGGGTAAGTGCCACAAAAGCAGAAGTGAGAATTTGCATATCAACAAATATCAGAGGCTGGAGGGCCTGGCCATTAGCGGTATTTATTGGCGTTGCGCCTTGCATGGCTGGACCGTGGAGTACCATATCGAACTGAAGCGCCAGGAGATCGGACATGAAGACAGTAAGCACGTTGCTTCCAGTATCATTGCAGACTAAGAAAGGCCGTGTCAAGTGTTCGTTACCGCCATACTGGGGAGGTAGCCTAATCTGGGCATGTAGCTGGTTTGTGTTAGTTAATAACCTCAAGTCATCATTGATATAGCTTAGATTGTGATATACCTGGTGCATATGGAAGGTGTTCGAATAAGGAAAAGTTTCCGATCTCGACTGGACCATTTGCTGCGGCTAATAGTCATAAAAATACGACATATGATTAGCCTGAGACTATTGATAATACCATATAGGATTATATGATATTTGCCTGTAGTTCTTGTTGCTGGATCATTTGCTGATATTCTAACGTCTAAAGATATCATTAATATGAACCAGTAAAATGGATAGCTAATGGGTTGATGGATATTGAAATATACCTCACACCATCTCATCGCGTTATTGGGTACCGACTCATCTTCCCATGGGTTCCTCTCGACTCGTCGTCCCTCAACAAGGTAGATCGGGGGATCACCTCGTTGGCGTGGTCCAAGCTCGCCATTCTCATATAGGCGAATGAGAGCTTCAACATTCACTCGCTGGGCTTTGCCAAAATCAGTCTGCAGAAAAGCTTTGAGTTGCTCTACTCGCTCCGCGGGGTGGAGGATGTAGGGTATCGGACACGCAGGACTGAACTGAGGATGTGGACCTGACATATTGAAAAGCGTTTGGTGGGAGTGGTTAGTGAAAGGTGAAAAATGTGGGATTGAGGAAAAGTGGTGAGGCTAGCTTAGCCTAGTCTAAAGGGAGAGGTCGGGTCTTTTATGCCAGGCGGATAGAAGGAGAGGTGACAAAACAGTGTATTGGGGCGCTGGGCCGGGAACGGCAAAACTAACCTGATGTAGTAAATCACAGGTCCCAATATTACATCACAACATTGACGTGAACAATGAATGCGGGGACAATACGTTGCTGGGATATACCGGCAAGGATGACAAGGGAAATCAGATCATCCATTTCTGCGAAAGACTCTATAGCAAGCCGCTCATCAAAGATGTCAAGTGCGAGAATCTGCAGGACACTGTTGGTGCCGGCATGGCCGTCATGGGTGCTACCCTGCTGCATGAGTTTATGTGAGTTATTGGATAATGGGTTGTCAGGCCGAAGATATCTTGAGTATGGCTAACGCATCTACCACAGGCATGCTGATGCAATTGGAAAAGCTGCGTAAGTCTCATCTTTTCGTTAATAATGACCAAAGCAATGAAACCTGACAGTTATCAATGCCTTGATAGGCTGGGCAAAGCCATCATCGACGTTGACAACGGCTATGGACCTCTCGAAACTCGCAATCTCAAGGATGGCGAGAATCTCGTCAATGCCGATAACTACACTTGGCTAGCAACGGTACGTTATTTCTATCTTTGGAAACCTAAATGCACAGTTTTGTGGAAGAGAAGACTGACGATTAGTAGGAGAATCTGTGGAGTATCATCTGCCAGAAGAGCTACTCAGCTCCGCGGGACGAAAGAGACACCTCTGACCCTGACTGCGATGATAAGACTTGCACTGTGCAGTAGTTCTGGCCTGTATGTCCAGGCTTTACAGCCAGATTCCAAGGATTCCAAGCCATCAAAGCTAAGGCCTAGATGGAAATCTCCTGGCTTTACATATATGCTATTGTCTCTGGTTACTTGATTTTGTCTAGATATTATCGATTTCCAAACATATACATAGAAGCCCTTGAATCTTTAACTGATTTTGAGTACGCTCTGTGTTTACCAGTAGCAAAGACATGGAGCAGTATCCTCGGTCTCTCCTGCACGGTATATAGTACCCAGATCACTCATGCTCTTTAGCCCCGGAAAAGCCCTGGTATCGACGGTTGAAATGAGTGCTACGAACCGCAATCCAGCCCATGTTTATTCCAAAAACTAACAAAATTTCAACTCTGGGCTGATACGGCGATTAATGGAGGGTCTGGTTTACCCACCCATCACGGACGTGAGCTTGATAGGACTTTTTCTTATGAGAGACTAAACCAGGCGATACATGACCATTGCCAAAGATCCCATAGTCGGGACATCATGGATGTATCAAAATTATCTTTTTCAACAGAAGAATGACGGTATGTACAGATGGCATATACACAGTTCTCTATTCAGATTCAGATTCAGACCCGGATTCAGGATCCTCGGAGGGGATCTCAGGATCAGGGAAAACAAAATTTCCATCAGCGCCCCAAACGGCAGGTGGAGAAAAGTCTTCATACCAAAGACCGCCCAAATGATTAGTGTGAACGAGTCCAAAACGGAAATACTCCAACTCGTTGGGATAAGTACGAGTCCAGGTGAAATCCGGCAAATGCTTGCCATTCTTGGGCCGGAAGACCTGGAAGCGCTCTACGTCGTTGACCAACACACTGAGGCCGTCGGCATGGGGTTCAAGGTCGGGGAACGAGAAGACGAGGGTGTTCGCATCCGTCAAGGAAGGAGGATATATCTTTGGTGGAACAGTACCAAGTTTGGCACCATCAAGAAGGGCGGCTGGAGTTTGGAGAATCGAATCGAAGCCCCAGCGAGCAATGCCGTTTATAAAAAGGCCAATAAGGATACCTGAGTATAGGAGACTGGGTCGCGTTTGCATAGTTGTCCCAGGTAGGAAGAGAAGAGATAGAATATAATGGTGAATTCGTAGGTTCATGTTCGGAACGGCGACAAGAATGAGAACAACTGCAACAAGGACACCGTAAATGCTTATCGTAGGGAAGAACCGTCCCTCACGACGGAAACAGTGTGCTTGACCAAAGGCGATGGCGATTAAAGACCCAAGTACAATGATGAGAGCCATGAGAGCACCCGGTTGCTGCTGAATATCGTGGGGCGTGAGGCGAGAGATCGGAATACGATCAAACGTGTCTGTATTCAGGGCGCCAACCCAGCAGCCGCCCAGCCACAGTACAGTCTTGTCCCAGTGTGCATCCAAATTCTTGAGTGTGTGCCGGACGCAGAAGTAATACAACACAAATCCAACAAATGCTCCAGGTAGGAATCGACCGAGCGCAATTGACACAAGGTCATAATAGCTCCCCATCGAGGGTGGGTCGGAGGCCATGGCGACCTGGAACCAGACAATGAAATATATCATGGAATAGAACGCCGGTGCCGATGTCACAACTAATGACAAAATGGTGGTCCAGATCAATGTGAAGGCGAAGAGCGACCAGCGCGCATCGGCACATTTGATCGATTTTGTCTCGTTCGAGTCTGGGGATGACACTTCATTACTGAGTCGGAATGATATCGGGAAACTCGAAAGAAACTCTACGCTTTCGATTCCGTTTTGCATGATCGAATGAAAGCTTTTCTGCTCGCCGGTGCGGTGCAGGACGCCACATCCGCCCCTCGCATCGTCAATGAGACCTGCATGCAGTGCCGACGCGCAGATTGACGAATCACCGCGGTAGGTGCCGCTGTTATGACCATCCACCTTAAATGGCTTACCCCCCACGACCAAGGGTCGGTAATTGAGCTCCTGGTCGCCAACAACATACGGCTCCAGGAGAATCGCCGCCGCACAACCAGAGGGACATCGGAATGCAAAGGATTGGTCCTCGAATGGGCGACAAGAATCACCATTCAGTCCGCAATTTGTGGCATTGTTCCTATACAGAGATGGTTAGGTTCATGAGATCTGAGGGATAAAAATAGAAACACACCATAAACGGTGGTGACACGACAGCTTGACGGGCTGCCCATATCCCGGCACATCTTGACCCGCAAAAGAAGCTTTCAGGGACACGAAGAACACGACAATCCAAAAGATCAAAGCACCAAAAAGAAGCGCAATCTTAGAATTTCGGTGCGGGAATTTCTGGTCAATCAGACGCGCCGGCGCAGTCTGTAAACGAGCGAACCAGGGGTTAATGTGATAGATATGCGCCGGTGTCGGGCCCCGGAGCCATGCGCAGAATCCCGAGGGCGTACAAGAAAACGGTGGATCGCGCTCGAATTTCTCCGATTGAGCCTCCATGCCGTGGACCTCTGAGGGCAGAAGAGGCACGTCGCCTAATTCCAAGTCGAAGTTTAGTTCATCACTGTCGCGGGCTTCATCCTTGTACTGCGATCCGATCTCCTGCAAGGGATACTCCGAGGTTGACTTATCTGGTGAGGGCGATCGTGCACCCGCGGCAGATTCCGGTCGCGACTGCATCTTTTTTTTATTTACAATTGGTTTACCTGAGCTCTGAAGCTCTCAGGGGGAAGGAAGTGGAATTCCTCAATGTCGAACTCGACGTTCCTGGAATTTCTTGGCTTTTAGTCATCCGGATTGCTACTCCGAGATCAATCCGGCGTCTCATCATGAGTTCCCAATATCAACCGTGTGACTTAGATCCTTCACCCTGCAGCTCTTCTTCACCTAACCATCTTCAGAAGTATGGCACCTCTTCACTACCTATCTAGAGCCCAGCAAACCCACACAGTCAGAATCACTAGTTATCTGAGGCCAATCTCAGGACGCTAGTAATCCCAGGCTGGTACTCTTTATCCTAGCCACAGCTCTTATTACAGTCCTCTACAAATAGGCCGTTGGTTTGAGTCGGGTTTGGCAGAGCGCTAGTGGAAGAAAAGAAACTTGACGTCCGGGAACTAGTCTAGATCAAGTGTACTGATAAGTTGAAGACAGACATAGATATATGCGAGAAGTTCTACCAGTCTAGTAAAGAGACATTCCCAGAATACTAGCAACTTTGCAATTCACAACAATTGCTCACAATCTAGAGATTCCTGTTGCGAATAATACAACAGAATAAGACCATGATTGATTCATTTTACTAGTCATAAACTAAGCCGATTGATTACCAATAGTCACGGCCTTGATATTTTGGTATTCGCCCAGCCCATACTTGCTTCCTTCGTGTCCAATGCCACTCTCCTTCACTCCTCCGAAGGGGGTTTCAACTGCACTCATCAATCCAGTATTAACACCAACCATACCGCATTCCAGGCGCTGCGCAACTCGCAGAACACGGTTCACATTCTCACTGAAGAAGTAACCAGCGAGACCAAACTCGGTATCGTTGGCCATTTCGATGACCTCATCTTCCGATGAGAATGGGAAAATGGCTGCGATAGGTCCAAATGTCTCATCGGTCGCAAGGAGCATGTCCTTATTGGCGTTGGTGATGATAGTGGGTTGGTAAAAGAACCCAGGGGGCGTATCAGTTGGTACATCACCACCATATCGCAGCTGACCTCCCTTCTGGAGAGCATCTTGTACATGGCTCTTGACTTTGTCCACAGCGGCAGCGTTGACGAGAGGGCCATGCGTGACACCTTCATCAATTCCACGTCCCAACTTGAATGATGAGACACGCCGGATCAGTCCTTGGGTGAAATCCTCCAAGACATCCTTATGCACGTAAAGCCTATTTGCGCAAACACATGTTTGACCAGAAGAGCGGAACTTGCAAATCAGGGCCCCCTCGATGGCCTTTTCGATATTTGCATCATCGAACACAATGAAAGGTGCATTTCCACCAAGCTCCATGCTGACCCGCTTGATTGTACCGGCAGCAAGCTTGGTGAGCATTTTACCAACGTTGGTCGAGCCAGTAAAGCTTATCTTCTTGACCTTGGGGTGGGTTGCCAACTCCAAAGAAGCATTGCGATCTTTGGTCGGCACAACATGCACGATGTCCGGGGGAATCCCGCGTCCAGAGCAAGCCTAACTAATGCGATCGCACTGAACGGTGTTTCACTTGGGGGCTTGATGACAACTGAGCAGCCTGCCGCAAATGCCGGTGCGATCTTCCGAGTAATCATCGCCGCAGGGAAGTTCCACGGTGTGATAATACCGCACACACCAACTGGCTCCTTGAAAGTCATAGCTGTAGTGTTCTGGTAAGAAGACGGAATGACGTCTCCATATGATCGGACTGCTTCTTCCGCAAACCAGGCAACAAATGATGCTGCATATGCCACCTCGCCTTTTGCTTCTGCCAGTGTTTTACCATTCTCCAAAGAGAGTATATTTGCAACTATCCCATGTCAATATCTGGACCAATTTCGAGGACGAATTGATGTGCACTTACGGTCGTCCAGATTCTGCAAGATAAGGTCATTCCATTTGCGTAGAAGCACGCTTCTTTGCTTTGCCGTGGTACTAAAGAAGTATTTTCGGAATCCACGATCGGCATCTTCAATGGCTTCCACAAAGTCTTGTTGGGAAAAGTCCGCGCAATGGCCCAGAACCTGACCAGAGGAAGGCTCAATAACCGGGAACATCTTGTTTGAGGACGCAGATTTCCAATTTCCTGCAACAAATCCCCGACTGTCAAACAGCGCAGGGTTCTTTAATTGAACGGGGAGTTGATTATGAGGTTGATCCATCGTGTCGTGTGAAATATAGTGATGACTAGATTCCTTTCAAAATAAATGTCGCAAAGATCAATCAAGTGTAAAATCCCATCGCAAGAGGGTGCTAACAATTTTATATCCTTTGTCTGGTGAACAATCGGCCAGAACACCGAGGTTGGAGACCAGATCGCATTCGGGAATCCTCGGCAGGAAATTAGAGTTCTTGACTTCTGGAAGACAAGATGTCAGTTGAGCTAATGCGTGTAACTTATGGAATAGTGGGAAACTGATGAATGTATTTGAGCCACCAAGGCGTGTGGTGTGGATATCTCAGTTTCTCCAATGTGACTTTCTCATCTTGTAATGATCACTACCCCCGGGGCTAATTGAGCTTCAATAGATCAAACGCTTGCCTCGGCACCCAGCCCCAATTATGGCCGATTTCCTAGGACGGGTTGAACCATGCATACCCGTACGAATCTGGTCGAGAATGCATGTAAATGCATTTACTTCGTGCACGACCCCATATATTATAGAGTTATATTTCAGCATACCATCGAAATACTTCAATACAGAGCCCGAATGGTCAACCGAGAGATATTCCGAAATATAACCCAAATAATACGCCGAAAAATACCCCGAGTGCCCCGAGAAGACTGTACCCCGAAGACTGAACCACCGTGATCAATCAATATTGTTAGTAATCCATACATATACCTAGGTAGTTCCCGAAGTATATAGCCAGTAATCTAAAAGATCATACTGCCATATCTAGCGTACTAAACGAGCAGTATGATCTGCTAGATTGATCTTGATATCTTATCACAATCATGGGTTTGGGATGTCCCGGAGTTTGAGAATTAGCATTCTTCAATCTGTAACCAAGGCAGCGATATAGGCTAGCAGTATATTAATCGATTGATGGTACCTGCAATACTGCTCATATGTATAGGGTTTGTGGCTGGAAAGCCACACATGCCCGGCGAACTGAGGTTCGACCAACATCCATTTTTACAATCATAGACCAAATTTTTTTAGTATTTTATTGCTACGATATTTTGAAAAGTTAAAATATAAGAGCAAGCTAGAAGATTTAATCTTATATTGGATTTCTCGAACACAAGTTTGAAGATAGAACAAGAACCTGAGATAGCCATAGGCTTGAGTAGTGACTAGTCTCGCACAGAGAATGATACGATAGTGTTCATATATGAGAGGAGATGAATTGAAAGTAATCCGGATGAAGGTGACTATGGTAAAAAAGGAGCTGAAATAGCGTCCGCGGTAGCCATATTTGGCAGCAAATCTCCCATCAACATGAGACAAAAAGACCGAATTGACGACCATAAACATCAGAATATAGAATACGAGTCTACCGTGGCTGTATGCTAGGGTTCATATAAAGACCCATAATGTCAGCAGGTGGTGGAGACTCAGGCTCAGGCTCAGGCTCGCACTCAGGGATAGGCCGCAGGGGCAATGCAGGGGTGTAAGGGCCAGGTACCGGGCGGTTATAAGCTAGATAAGTATCGACTGGAGGAGGAGATCGAGGCCTCACCGGGATCCGAGAGTTCATACGAGCGAAACGATCCGCTCGAGGGATCTGAAGGGCATTCACATATGGCGCTGGAGCGGTATCCTCAGCCTCAGAAATGGTTGTAAGGGAACGGAACAGCTAAGTCCCAGAGGAATGACTGGGCCTCGATGTTACGGGCAACACCAACGGGGGACATATGGCGCAAAAGGTCACCTGTTAGCATGTTCAAAGTGTCAGCGGTGTAGATGCAAGCCCAGTCAAACTCGGACATTGGGGGTTGTCCAGGGCGGTCGATGAGGACTGTGAAGAATCCAGCGGGTACAACACGCACGAGCTCGTTTGTCGGGCAATCGATGGCCATCATCTGTCCAGCTCGTTTGAGCTGTTCCAGTGACCGATGAAGTTGACCTACCCTATCACTCAATTCCTCCTCAAGCGATAAACCATTGTGCAGGATGTCATCAACGAGCTGCTGGCAGCGGGATTGAAATCCATTGCGTGTGGTTTGGAAGAGCCGGGACGAAGTGTTGTCTAGCATCACCGACATGGCTTCCCACCGATACCAAAAGCCCAAAGGTGTGGGTGAATCGATTGTGACAGGCTGTGGTAATAATGGCCAGGGGAACTGACTATCTAATTGGAAAGTCAGCAAGAGTGGATCGTCAAGTACTGTGCAGGCTCGATCAAATATTGTATGAACGTTCAACACGGCCTATTTATATTATTTCTGGGCCATACTGGCCTCAATGAGAAGATTATCATTCTTGGGGATGAAAAGAAAATGGCGAGTGAAGGACAACAAGCAAACAACAAAGGCGAAAAAGGAAACATACAAAACAAGAAGACCTGCGACATAATGGCCTTGTTGACGATTCTTTGTTACTCAGACCGGGTACCGGGAACTAGGCAAAGATGTGAGTGTAACGAAGCATGTGAAGACTATTGAACACAATTATATAGCTATGGTTAATTAGGGTACACGCTCACGCGGTTATAGATTAAGAAACTGTATGTATTAAGAATTAATTGCAAGAAAGTGACCTTTCACCGAGATCCAGAGCCAAATTTCCAAAAACAAAGCACTAGAAGATTATTCCGCCAAGGGTATCAACGTGAGTCGTAAGTCGTTCTTCTCCAAATAACGAGAAGCACGAGAAGAAGAAAAGGAAATAAAAAAGTAAGAATATCACAAAAAAGCTGATTACGGGTATTGTGCTGGGTGGGAGGAGCGATGCACATATTCGGTCGTGTACTTCCGAGTTCTGGCGCTTGTCTCCGCTATGCCGAGACTTGGTGAGTCGATATTATTATCTAGACGGCGGAGCGACGACCCCAGCGGCGGCGGTGGTGGCTATTCAGTATGTCAGTATAAATCTTCCGGTCTGTGTCATCCGACGGCGTGCATGGCCACTTACACTCTGTCAGTGGTGCTGTCGCGAACGCGGAAGGTAAACCAGATCCCCTTGAGGCTTATTAGTATCTATACTTGTGGACTGTGTACTCTCATCACATACCACAATAGCAGAAACAAGCCAGACAATAGCAGAAAGGAAGCTGAAAGCCTCAGCTGCCTTCCATCGGCCACACATCTGATCCCCTCTGAAGTGCCAGGACCAGATGCTGCCGCAGGGCATGTGGTGGAGGGCGTCGACGAGGACACCGAAGGCAGCGAACCAGGCAAGCGAAATTAGAATGTCCACTAGATTCCAATAAGCATTTATCATAATTTATCAGGTAGTGTATTGAGCACATACTAGGCCAGGAGAAGAATCCCGACGAGAATGGGATCAGCCATATGAGGCCCAGCAATATCGATAAGCCAGCGATTACTTCAGTATAGATCCATCGCGACTGGGGCCACCAGTCAACATCTGAGCTGCTATGGTTGACCTGGGCAAGGTAGTGTCCGATAACACCTGCGACGACCTAGAAGAAATATAAAATCAGATGCGGTTTATAACTCGGTACAGGGCAGTATTACTCACAGCTGCAAAGGCAATCTCCGCGACGCGAAGTAGGATAGACGCGAGGCGTGAAATGACAGGCATTTTTGAGGTGATGTCAAATCAATAGGCCCTTTCTTTTGATAAATCCAAGGATGTGATTTGTCAGGAGTTAACGTGTTAAGCTGTGCGAGAAAGTTGTAACGAAGGAAGAGAGGGTATGGACTGGGGGAAGGAAGAAGCTATATAACGTATGAGGTTGCACAGACAGGCAAAGCCCGAGAGGAAGTGACAGTGTGTTTTCCAAGCAAGGGCCAAACGTGAAAGCCTAATACTACTGATCATAAAAGCTACGTTCAAGTAAAAAGAACCCAAAATACAGCACAGCTTGCATTGTGCACAACCAATAGGGGCCATCCAAGGCTACCGATGTCGTCAGATCAGTTTCATGTGCAGCGAGTTCTTTCCAATAAGCCGAGGTCACCATTGGTCAAAGAGTGCCGTGAACAAAACGTGCCCAACCCGTTTTCCAGGCTTGGGTGGGTAAGAGATCGACTTTTCGCGGCGGACTGACCGCTGATGTGGACTGTGGCTGAATGCTCCTCAACACCCGATCGGAGCAAGGAGTGGGCCTCTGGACTGTCAAAAATAAGGGGATACAGGTACTGCATAGCCCTGGGGGTATTTGGAAAACACCGGTGCCTTCATAACATGATCCTTGTGTTCCCCAGACCCAGCCTTCCCATGTCCAAAAATGTCTCGTGGCGACGTGCTGGCGCAGAATACAGTGTCTTCTGTACGGAGTGCTGCATTGTGATATACTTCAGTGGCTTGGTCTTTGCGTGAGTTGACTGCCGATCGCATCGACTATTGGTGATAGCTCTGATTTCTCCAGAATTGGGTTTGGTCTCCACTCAGGTCGATCATTGTCTGACAGGTGCGTGGCTCTAGACATCCCCGAGCTGGGGGAGATCCGGTTTGAAGCGAGACGACACTGACATCATAGTTGACATGGGTCATCTGACCTTCGTTTCTCAGCCTTATGACGTGGGCCCATGCCTAGATAACTCTCACAACTTTGGAAGCTTGGTTCTGTTTATTTTGCATTTTTTTTTTGATATTTGAGCATGTTGAGTTGTGTATAGAATGTTACTCCCAAACTGATATTTCATCTACAGGTGGAGGTACAGCAGACTTAGGCAGACTTAGCAAAAGAAATGTACATGCAGGAATAGCTCAGAAACATGCGGGCGATGCGAAGTCTACTCGGTACAATTCGAGCTAACATACTTCGTAGTGGGTCATCGGTACTATGAATAGCAGTAACGGTAATAAGGAAGCTAGCTTTCGGAAAGCCACAAGAGATCAAATCTGTAATAATGCTGCCTACAAAATTCCCGAAAAAGAAAGCATACACGCCGACACACAATAACCTCCCATCCCCAACTCCTAGGCGACAATAAAAGAACTTATGCTACAAAAGTCTCAATCAGACAAGAACTAGGCATTCTTCTGATCCAAGTGCCATGCCATCACATCGCGGAATATTCCCTTGGCGCCAGTTTCGATAGTATCACCATGGCATGGAATCAAACGATCAAAATCCCACTGATCAATCCTCTTCATAGACTCATTGAACGCAGCCCGATTTTGTGACGAGAGAATATACCACGCGAACCGTCGGTGCCATGTAGCCGGCGGTTTGGTAGACAGCAGCGGCATAATAAGCTTCGTCAAGAAATTAGTCCCCGACGCTTCGGGGGTCTTGGAATACTGCTCCTTAGCGGGCAGGTTGAAGAGCAGATCCGCCTCGATGACGGTGCGCGTGGGCTTATGCAAAAACACCAACTCGCGCGATCCATGGCCATACACATACTCGCTGTCAAATTCAGCATCAAACTCCTTCGAGATCGACCGCGGCAGTTGATCGTCTTTCTTGAATATGTGCTTGAATGGGGTGTCCTGATACTCAGGGTTCGATTGCCGCTTCTCATAGAGACCCTCTGGAGCCAGAATCTCTGCTTGCGGGAACGCGTTTTTCCATGGAGTGAGATTGAGGTGATGTTCGAGATCTGGTGCCGTGATGTATTTCACGTTTCCGCCAAGGGACTCGATTGTCTCGCGGACTTCGGGCGTTAGGCCGACGGGCGAGAATACCGCGAGGGAGCCGGTGGCAAGCTTGACTGTTGCATGCAAGAAGTATTAGAGCTAAGTCCTAGACAGAATCAACCTTTCCCGTGCGCTTGACATGCCTGCAAGTCATTCTCTGGAGGAGATAGTGTGTGGGTTCTGCAGGGGTCGGCACTCACCCAGTGTCCCTCGGCCGCCGAACTGTAGGCGTCCAAACCGTGCAAACGGCAGACTCATTGTCACAATTTCTGGCGTCACATGGCGAATTACCATGGTCGCAGAAGGGTTGGTTGGAAAGAGCTGTGGCATTTTGGCACGTTGCTTTTTCCTTCTCTGCTTTCAAGTTCGAGAGCTGTCCTGGCGTTATCTCAGATTGGGTGCCTTGAAGCTACAGATATTGTAACTAATAGAAAAAATGTTAGTTGTAAAATAGTGAAGATTAAAGAGCTAAGTTAATGAAGTTCGAAAAAAGCAGGTGGCCAGACAATGACGTAGCCTTATCTACCCGCTGATTTGAGAGACCTCGGCAGAGCTGGACTAGTACTCTGCACGCAGTTGGTTAAATTGGGATACACTCATGTACATTGGAAGAGACCAAGTAATTTTTGTGGAAATTTTCATTTGTGCCCTCTAGAGGTATTCTTGTTGAACTATTCCGTACATGTCATTCAATACTGGCATATTCAAACCACAGTGCTAAATTATTGGAATTGACCAATGCAAGCCAAAAGATCAAGGGGTATCTCGCAAAACACATTCGTGCAATCGTGTCCTTGGAAGGAACCTAGGCATACCAACTTGTGCCAGTCTCTTGTTCTTTCTCTTCACGATGGGGGATGATGGAGTCCTTGACGTTGAAAACATCGATGATTTCGTGCCACGTTTCGTGGTCCAGGCTAAAGACCGCCTGATGTTTCTGTACACCCTTTTTTTGGGCTTCACTGGGGGCGAACGGTGCGGCCGCATCTATCAAACCATTAGTACTTTATCGACTAGTCATTTTGGAGAATACTCACGCAGCGTCGGCAGACCACGACTATCTACTGCTACCCCTACTGTGCCGTCTCGCACGAGGAAGCTCACATAGAACAAATTTTCCACGCTTTGCCCAAAAGACTTCGGGTTGATACAGAAACGAAACAAGGGGATTCCTCCGTCGTCCGCCACGCTGTGCTTATCCATGATTTCTTGCGCTTTCTCTGGGGTAAGACCTTCTTGGGCTTCGAGCTCCTCCGTAGCATCTTTCTCACGTTGACGTTGGCTGTTGGCGAGCAACTTGTTGATCTCGGAACAGATCTGGGTCAGATTCGAGCTTTCCTGCTGGCCCAGATCCTGCTGTGCCATTTCCCGGGGCGCCACGGCTTGTGTCCGATCAATTTGCTCTGCAGCTCTTCGCTGTGTCATTTGTCGCGTACGTTTCTGTACGGACAGCGGCCCTAGCAACCATCCTGACACTGCCGGGCGGGCATTGCTAGGAAAGCAGGCCGATCGACCAAGCGTGTCCCAGTTCATCGCATCGCCATCATCTTCGTCACTGGCGTCAGGGTCTCTTTGGCTTCGACCAGGGCGTCCTCGGCGTCCCTGTGTCCCGTTTGCTGAGGCCACCGCGTTGTTCGGACCGCGACGCATGAACGATATACACTTGGATACGAACTCGTCCACATCGATACCAGCAGAGGTGTCACCAAGAGCCAGCTGAGTGGCTTTCTTCCGCGTGAGATCGGCTGTATTGACCAGGATGCGTGAGTCGAGTGTGGCATCGGCGGTTTGCTTCACTTTGGCGTAGAATTGATTTGCTTGTTCGACAATGTTGAGGATACCATCATTTCCAGGCTGCATGAGCTCTCCTCGCGTGTCTTTGTGAAACATGTTAGGGTACGATCACTGGAGTCTTGAGCTTAGGCAAAGCAACATACCATTCAATTCCCTGCCCAGATCTCGAAGTCCTCTCCGCACACTTCTTCGTTCCTCGGGGTCCTGGTCAGGGTCATAGTATCGCGTATCATTGCTACTTCGTTGAGATGATGCTTGCGACTGTGCAGATCGAGCAGATCGAGCAGACCGAGAAGATTGCGCAGACTGGACATTCGAGGGACGGTCGGCCAGTCGCGGTCGTTTATTCTGTGCACTTGGCGGTGGCATCGCAGCGGTAGTCCTCTTATTGATGCCCTGACGCCGATTTTCTTTATCGGAAGTAAATGATTCTGGTGATGATGGTGATGAAGTTTGGCGGGGTCCTGGGGTGCTTGTTTCATCCAGGTGGGTGTGAATGAGACGTGCCATACTCGATCAGCACTTTTTAGTGTGATGAGAGGATGCTAAAACAAAGAATATTGAACAAAGAAGAAAAGGGGACTAATCGGGTAAAGCCAGTCACAGTATTCCAATTAAGACAAAAAGGATACCTCAAAATACACTATGCCTCGAAAAAGAAAGATCTGTGGCTACATCTAATGATCGCGAACGCTTCGTCGCGTCGCGTAGAGCTTGCACGTGACCCCCGCGTGGGTTGCTTATCGGCCATGACGCAGCGACTTGTTGCTCTCTCAAAACGGAGATCAGAGATGGAAGCCTTCACCTTTGCCGTGACCACTCAAGTGAACATACCTATACGCATCAAAATGTAAGTTTTCCATTCCTGAGAATTGAGGTATTTCTCACGTTGATGCATCCACAGTGGCTCGTTGGAGGGCAAGCAGAAACCGATCCCATACACAGTTCTTAATGAAAACCCCGAGCTACGACATATTGCCTCCGTCCAAGACCCGACGTCCGACCTTTATGTGACTGCTCAGATATGGTCCGAGTCGAAGCCATTGGGTGTGCCAATGAAGACTAAATATAAAGCCTTCAAAACCACCCGAGTATGGAACGAGTGGCTGGAGATGCCCATGTCCATTAAGGATGCCGAGCGTAACACCCAGTTGGCAATCACCATCGTTGATATGTCTCCACTAGCAGCCGATAGGATTACACATATTCCATTCGGTGGAACTACAGTCGCCTTGTTTGACGAAGACGGAAAATTGAAGATGGGCAGACAAAAGTGCAAGGTTCATTTACACAAGGACGCAGATGGCTCTGCTACAACGTCTACACCATCCATCTTACCGCCAAAGCGCCGTAAACCCAATACCCGTGATCCGTCACAGCAGTCGCCTGAAGAGGCAGAACTAGAACGGCTGGAAGTCCTGATCAAGAAGCACGAAATGGGCGAGATCCCGCGTGTTGACTGGATGGACCAGCTGCTTTTTCGCGAGTTGGAAAGATTGAAGTTGAATGCAGATGAAGCGGCTCAAAAGCGCGCTCTTGAGCTTGATGCAGCCCTGCAAAAAGATCCGAAACACGCCAAAGATCCAGATGATAGCTCCGATGAAGAGAACCTCGAAGATGAATATTTCGATCTTTACGTTGAATTCCCACGCTTCGATCATCCCATTGTGTGGGCTGATCACGAGTATCCCCCTCCGCCCATTTCCTCTTGGCCTCAAAATGCGCCTCCCCACCCTAATGCGACGCTTAAGCCAGTTCCGGAGGTACAATTTGGACCTGGAATTTCACATGCCGATCCCCATAATATCATTCAGATTTACGATCCAGAAGTAGGCCAAATCGGAAACCCGTGTGAGGACAAGCACCGACGTTTGATCCGAAGCCATCGGACTGGCATTATGGATCGTGATCTGAAACCCAACCCAAAGATTAGGGATGACCTCAATATGATCATCTCCTACGAACCAACGCAAGACCTTACAGCCGAAGAAAAGGATCTTGTGTGGCGCTTCAGGTACCATCTTACACGCGAGAAGAAGGCATTGACAAAATTCGTCAAATCAGTTAATTGGCGGGATGTGGGAGAAGCGCGACAAGCGGTTGAAATGTTCCCTAAATGGACCGAAATTGATGTTGATGACGCCCTGGAGATTCTGGGTCCTACGTTCGATAACCCTGCTGTCCGTTCGTATGCTGTAGAAACACTACGGAAGGCAGACGACGAGGAGTTACTTCTGTATCTTCTCCAGTTGGTGCAGGCTCTGAAATATGATGCAACTCCGGAAAACCAACCTGATGCGGCTCCGCAGGAGTCCTCGCTTGCACATTTCTTGATCTCGCGTGCGGCTAATAACTTCAAACTTGGCAACTACCTACACTGGTATCTCATGGTCGAATTCGATGACGCTGACGCAATTCAGCGTCGGCTGTTTGCGCGGGTTGAATACTACTTCATGCTTGAACTGGAGAAGCTTCATCCTGAACATAGAAAGACACTTTTGCACCAAGGGGAAATGGTGGCTGTGCTCTCCAAAATAGCCAAGGATGTACGCTTCGCGCGCGAAAACAGAGTCGGCAAGATTGAGATGCTAAAAAAATATCTCCGTGACCCTGATAACGACTTGATTAACATAGATCCACCGCTGCCTTTACCTTTGAATCCCGATGTTTCAGTCGTTGGATTATACCCCGAGGAATCGAACGTCTTCAAGTCCACTCTTTCGCCTTTGCTCATCACATTCAAGACTTCCGAAGGCCGTCGTTATCCGATGCTGTTCAAAGTCGGTGATGATCTTCGCCAGGACCAATTGGTTATCCAAATCATCATCTTGATGGATCGTCTTTTGCAGAAGGAGAACCTTGATCTAAAACTGACTCCTTATCGAATTCTTGCCACTAGCGCCACGGCCGGTGCTGTGCAATTCATTCCCTCAATTTCTCTCTCGGCGGCATCCGCAAAGTACAAGTCTATCCTCGCCTATCTACAGGCCAATAACCCAGATGACACTGAGCCTCTTGGCGTCCGCAAAGAAACAATGGACACATACATCAAATCATGTGCAGGATACTGCGTCATCACTTACCTCCTCGGTGTTGGCGACCGGCATCTTGAGAATCTGCTTCTAGCGCCAGATGGCCACTTCTTCCACGCCGACTTTGGCTTCATCCTCGGTCGTGATCCGAAGCCTTTTGCGCCCATGATGAAACTTTGCAAGGAAATGGTTGAAGGCATGGGCGGCACAACTTCACCCCACTATCTACAATTCAAACAGTACTGCTACACTGCTTACACCACGCTGCGCAAATCCGCCAACCTGATTCTTAACCTCTTCAGTTTGATGGTGGATGCCAATATTCCTGATATTCGAGTGGAACCTGACAAGGCCGTGTTGAAAGTGAAAGAGCGCTTCCACCTTGAAATGACCGAGGAAGAAGCCATCCGTCACTTTGAGCAACTCATCGCAGACAGCGTCAATGCCATTTTCGGTGTTGTTATTGATCGTTTGCACGATTTCGTGCAGGGCTGGCGAGCATGAGCTATATGCTTTCGCGACTTTCCAAGGAATTCTTATGCTGATCTTGCATACACTATTTTACTTTTTGAGGGATTTCAGACCGTGCGCATTGAGGTGTTTGGAGAATTATTTAGGGGCTCGGGTTTTGCTTCTGTTATCATGGAACTCGGCGCAATATGATGGATCTATCAAAGCCATGATACCCAACTTAGACTATATTGTCTGGATAGCAATCATTTGTTAAAACTTTGGTTAGATGGTATGATGTCCATACAGATCGCCACTTGAGTAGGCTCTTGGTTACTGTGTAATACGCATGAATGGGTCCGTAGCCCTGGTTAGCCAGGCCAAGCGATATGTTCTATCCTGACAGAGTAGATACCACATTCTCCCGTTTATTCCGTGTTACTAAGAGCAGGGAAATGCCAACTATATATTTAGCGCTACATTTCTGAATGCCGATACGCGCTGGCTTTGATCCAAGTCCAGCGCCAATTGAATTCTCGAATCGAAAGCTTCGCCAGTCGAAACTTTGATGGCTTTGATATCGACAATCTACCCGTGGACAGTGGTCAAATAACCTGATCACACCGCATATTCCTTACAGACTTTAGTATGCGATTTACACACCCGCTCAATGCCATACCAGCACGAATGGTGTCTTGACCCGCTCTTGGCACTGCTATTCAGTCTCGAGTATTGATTTCCACAGCCCTTTGTCTTTCATCGTGTCGGCTGCTTTCCCGTTGCTCTTCTGATCTCCGTTTCATGGAACGTATCAATACATTGGAGGATTGCATGTCCCATCTTGGTAGGTCTTCCCTACCTTAGTCATAGGTTAGAAGCTCTTCTTTGCTAGAACGAAAATGAGATTCCTATTGATATAAGCGCCACATGCGACTGGAAGAGAGCGGCTTGATCTTCAGCACTCATGTAGACGATGATCCCATCCGAGCGATCTCGGGAGAGATAGAAAAGTACCTAAGACCAAGAGGTCGTTTGACTGAACTGTGAGTCTTGATGGTTTCTTATATTTACACTCAGGCATAGCCTATATAACCAGAATAGGGAAGTAGACCCTTACGATAGAATTTTGCCTGCGCGACAACATATAATTCGACCAGTAAAATATGTAATCCTTTACATAGAAAAAACTGACAAACTTCACTAATCATGGAGTATGTTTAAAGATCCCTGGCTCCCAGAAGTAGAGCAACTTCATCATACCAGGCACTAATCTCAATGTCCATGGTTTGTCTTACCCAAAACCTTGTTCAACCACGCATGAATCGTCCTCGAAAGCTCCTGCCCACTACCGGTCTGGCAATGAAAGCCAGCAACGCCCTTGAAAGTATGCAGAGTAGCCCAGTGACCCAGCGCGTCCGCAACCTGCTTCGGCTGTCCAATGTAACTGCTTTCCAGTTCGGCATCACCGACAAATACAGGTATCTTGATCTTGTTTATGAAAGACTCCACGTTGTACTCTTTTATCTGGGTGAAGAAATCAGAGGGCGAGTGCGTATAGAACGCCCACAGACCTTGATCGATGCCCCAAGCTGCGCCAGTGGGGAGCTTCCCGGCCTCGCGAGCCGAGAGAAGGACGTCGTCGAATTGCGTGTAGTTACCCGCCTCGTAGATTTCGAGCATCTCTGGTGAAAGCTCCCTGATGTATGCAGCGTAATTGTCCCAGACACCATCAATGAGGACCGCTGCGGACAGACGGGGCTCGAAGGCTGCGGCACGGGCAGCAAGGTAGCCACCGAAGGAATTGCCGACGAGGACAAGACGATTCTTGTCCACGACGTGCTTCTTCTCCGAGAGAACGTAGTCCACGACTGGAGTGACGACTTTCTCCCAATCGGGAATAAAACCAAGGTTCTGATTACGCCGCACAGTTGGTTGTCCCGGGCCTTCGTAAGTGATACAATTCCATCCTCGGGCCAGAGCGGGGGCGACGAAGTTATGGTAAGAGTCTTCCTGCGCAGCGTCGAAGCCGTTCCCGATAATCAACGTCGGCAGCTTGTCGTGCTTGCTCTCGGAAGCAGAATACCAGATGGCCTCGATGGTGAAGTTGCCCTTGGTAGCTGGAATGCGGATGCGCTTGCCAGGGATAGGCAAAGCAGCTATCCCCTTATCGAACGCCCCAATATGCTCAACCCACAGGCTGTTGATGAGCGGGTTGCTCCAGTTGCCGTGGAGGTAGCCGTCAGCCTTGCGGAAATACGATGCCGCAGAGAACCATGTCTCCCTGACATTGAGAGGGTCGTAGGCATTCTCAGGGTCTTCGGCCTGAGCCTTGGTGTCATTGGCGAGCTTATAGAAGACCTCGACGAAGGACGTCATGTTTCCGGCTTCGATATCCTTGGCTGCGCCTAGAATAGGGCCGACGTCTCCTCCTCCTGTGATGGACTCGCCGAGAGGAGTCAGCAAGTCGAAATTCATCGTTGAGTCATTGCTCAACAGCAGCATGGAGCTGTTAGCGGTGCTGTACGCCGCGAAAGCTACACCGTAATGCAGCAGGGTGACCAAAAGTGGCCCAGCGTAGGCGGAGGAATGTAGTCTCATGGCGAATTATGAGTGAAAGAAAACCCTTAGGAAATTGTGATGGCTTTGTCGCTTGTAGAGTGTATGTTTCGAAGTGATTTCTCTCGTTTCCTGTCGACCTTCCATCTCATCTTATACTTCTCTTTCTTCTTAGGCATACGCGACGATCAGAACCCAAGTCATGTCGAAGGGACGTGCTACATAATGGGGCCTACCGCATCGAGTGTGTGTTTTGCGACGGGATCTTCTCATTGGTCGCGCCCAGGGGCAACTAGCTTGCCGTAAGCCCGGCTGTGCCGCATGATGATCCACCCGACCCATAGTAAGCTTATACATATCTGCCTGTGAATTCCATCCCATCGCAACAAAATCTCCCTTTTCGGCATCATCGTTGTCACAATGGTCAATCGCGGGCGCTCGGGAGGCTGCGTGACGTGCAAGCAACGCCGCGTGAAATGCGACGAGACGAAGCCCGAGTGTCGAACATGCCAGCGCCTTGAGCTTGGCTGCGGAGGCTACAACATTCTCAAGTATCCCAAAATAAAATTCAAAGACCAGAACCACAAATTTTGTAACCACACCCACCAATATGCCGTGGAAGCTGCGACTACTCCGAGTCGATCGTCTGAGTGTGATGTTCAGGACCGGGAGGTTGCGAGGGCTTTGAATTCGCGGCGGCTCTCTGAACCCGACACCGCCGTGCCGTTTTTTCTCAATCATTACGCCAGTCTGGGCCGTGATATGGGATCCACGCGCGGGTTCTTCGAAATGCTCATTCCAGCCTACTTATCGCAGCGGGAAGAATCAGCGCTCTCACTCGCCGTATCAGCGTTGGCTTCAGGAATCTTGTCCATGTGGCGGGGAGACGACAGCAGCTTCCGTTCCCCAAGGAAGTCTTACTTCCGGGCAATCAAACGCCTTCGGATCGCCACACAGGATCCAATAGAACGTGGCAAGCCGGCAACTGTTTTAGCCGTATTGGCGCTACAGACGTACGAAAATGCGTCTGCGGTATATGACCTTCGTTGGGCTTCGAGTATGCACCATAATGGCGCTGCGTCTTTGCTCTTGTCCATGGACTCGGACAGCATTGACGGATCGGTGCGTTCCTATCTGCGAAGGTTTATGCTACACACCGAAGTTTCAACAGCGATACGTCAGAAAGAGCCACTAAAGGATATCGCATACTCGTGGATTGGGAGTAAAGATACGATGGCTGTGCCAGAAAACCCCAGCTCAACACTCGATGTGATAGGAGCATCCGTTGCCGAGTTGCAGGCTAGCTACACGCAGTTTATGACAAAGGGTAGCTCGACGACGTCGTCCGAGCGCGTTTTGGGTGAGTGGATGGCCAAGGCAAGCAGGGTTAGTGCAGAGCTTCTGGTGTGGGCTGAAAAAGTACCTGAGCACTGGAAACCGCTGAGGCTGATTAGTGGTCGGGATATTCATTCGTCCATACCCACCTACCAGTCCGTCTGTGAGGTGTATCCATCCTGCCAGATTGCCAGCATTTGGAATCTATGGCGCTCTCAACGCCTGTTGCTGGCCAAGATCACACTTGCTTCCCTCAAAACATTCTCAGATTTTAGCCGCTTTGGCTTCACATACGAGAAATGCCTCGGGGACCCCACAGATCCTGCCAACTGTGAACAAATCATTCAAGAAATGATCGACGGCGTGTGCCACAGCATACCTTTTTATCTTGGCAACCGAACCACCCGGTCCAGTCTCACAGATCTCACTGACCCGGCGGTCCTGCTTCCAAGCCAATATTTATTGGAAGATGAGGCGCGACTGGCCGGTGATGGTCTCAATGCAGGGAGATCTAGGGACGACCACAGGCGTCATATTATCGCGCAGGGGCCGTGGCGGGCCATGCACCCGCTGAGCAGCTTGTTGACGCTCTTCTCGGAAGATTACGATGAGGTAATAGCGAGCTTTCTTAGACCTGGACAGCGGGAATGGATCCGCGACCAGTTCCTGCGTGTCGCCACGTTGCTGCATCTTCCCTCGGAGCCGCGCAATGGCTTGAAAATATCAGAATCGCCGGGAGAACTAGCAAATGCCAAGACGGAGTATATGGCCAAGGAGATAAGAAAAGGCGCAATTCTTATGAGTGGACCGTAAAGCTTGGGGCCTGTAGATTGAGCGAGATCCAGTGTTGGCCACTTGCTGGAGGGAGCGCTGCGGATGGGCTGTCCAGGGGGTATACCGAGGCATGTAGCCAGTTGCTATCATTGCCTCTTCAGAGAAGAAAAGTATAATGCAGGAAAGGCGTTGGTATGGCGCGCTGGCAGCTAAAGACTGCCGTGGACGGAGTACTTTGGTACCAGATATATATTTTAGATCTGTATGCGAATACTAGCACTTTCCCAGTGAACTCTATAATTTGAAAATTTTTAAACAGCGCGTCTGGTCGCGTTTTCAACGTCATTGATATTATTGATTCACTATATATAAATTAGAATGATAGAATACTACCTGTAGATAGAGGTAAGAAAAGGGGTTTCTCTATGTATACCTATAGTCAGTAAAAAGTCACGTTTTTCAGAATATCTGTGTTGATCGAGCACTCTAAGTCCCACGTCATACAAAGGAAAATTTGGGACTGGGAATTGAGATCAAAGAGGTGCAGGTGGGTGTGTTGTCAATCTATATCCACCTGCTACTTCCAAGGTTGTACCTAGCTAGGTAACTAGGTAACTAACCTTGGAAATAACCTATATGCTTACATAATGAAACTGCGTAACGTATTTCACATGCGAGCTGCGCACACAAGCGAGCTGCGCAGTCCCAAACACATAGTAAATGCGATAAATTACAACTTGATATTTCAACCACTATGGTCTATAGAGATTTCTCCCTATATCCTCCTACTTTCTAGGTGATATCTAGTCTCTTTACAGGATTTGAAGGAAGTTTCTAACTTTATAATTGAGATACATATATTTCCAGTTTTCAGTAACGTAATTTTCGGTAATTTTTGAAATGATAATAATATACCTATCCAATATCTTTAAAATTGAGATATGGTGCTAATAAGTCTTATCAATAGCTATCGACAAATAAGGAGCTAAGATAATAACATGGTTGTTGAAATATAAATGTAGAATATATCGCATTTACTATGTGTTTTGAACTGCGCAGCTCGCTTGTGTGCGCAGCTCGCATGTGAAATACGTTATTTATTTAGCAAGGTAGTTAGGACCGAGTAGGCAGGATACCTAGGGTACGTACATTGTATTGTAGCTTGGGCCCCTTGGCTCAGGCCATTCAGCTGAAACCGAAGAAATCAGGGATACTCAGCAAAAAGAGGCAAAAGTTCCAAAAAGAAAAGAAAAAGCCACAAAGTGGTACAGACCATGGGGTATATCGGTGGGTACATGCAGGTATAAAGCCTTAGATTCTGCAAAGACCATGAATGGGGGCCCATCATAGCCCATCATGGCCCGCCCTTTAAGGGGGTCTTGGCGCTTCTAAACCGTCGACTTGTAATCGCTGTATCCTAGCCTCCTACTAATTTCTCAGAGTCTAAAATTCAGCAGGGAATATAGAAGCTCAAAATGGTGATTTCAATTTGAAAAATTAATTTTGGGAAAAGTTTGACCAGTTGGGATCGAGATATCGCGAAAAAGACACTTAATATAAATATTTTGATACGTGTTTTAAGATCAATGTCGGAGTACCAACACTTCTTAACCTATCTTATTTCGATTATTCTTAACTAACGAGTTTTCTCGTAAATTTTGATATGATATATGAATTTAACTTAATATTAATAAGTTACATATTTGGATGATAAAATATTACCACAGAATGAGGGCTAATTACGGGGCTCAAACATGGTGTAAGTAATTTTTCAAAATTTTTGCATTGTTTGGTGCTAATTGGACTTCATGGGGCCCCAATTATGGGCTATGTGGGCTTTGCAGAGCGCCAAATTAAAGCCTAGTGGAGTGAGTTGTTCAGTGAAGACGAACAGAACATTCCTTACTATGTACAACATACACTATCCAGCCGCACCGCCTCGGTGCCGGTTGCCCCCCTCGTGCTCTGTATTCCGTACCCCGTACTTTTCTCCAACCATTTCGGTACTTTTCTGCATATATGCGTTCTGCACTGCCACATGTCTGTCCTGCACTGCCGGGTTGTTCCCTTGCACGCTCAGATCTTCTTCGCCATGTTAACGGAGTATACCCTCAAATCTTGGCCCAGAGCCTTCGTTAGACTTGATGGAGTCCAAAATTGCAATTTTAAAAAAAAGATCAATGATTCTTGTGCATGTCCTTCTTGTCAACTTACCTCACTTATTCTGTATAAATTTGGGTGAGCCCTCTGATAAAATTGAGAAATAAGTAGTCTAAGCTTCCCCATCTCTCCGCCAAATAAAGATACTCGAATTCAACCCACACTCATTCGATCAAGATCCTTCTCAATCTTCACTTTATCCTGTCATCGATACTTAATCATGCCGCGGTTGCCAGCGGATATCAACTCAGATAACTTGGGCCCGCACCTTCGCCTCGAGCTGGGTTGGACCACCCCTGGTTCCACTTGCACAGAGGCATCTATGGCCCCTGTGGATCAACCTGTATACAGTCCGTATGAGGAACTGTCTCTGCCACTTAATGGAAATTTCATGTCCGCGTCTTCGTCGACACATAGCCGGCTGAATCAGAACACCACACTGGATTCTACTGCCGACCGCAATCACCCTCTGGCCTTGTCTACAGCCTTTCACAGCTCTGCGAAGCCTACCAGTCATGTCACCTCTTCCAATACTTCTCCGTTGACGTACCTCCAGCATGATAAGGGTATCGTGCAGTACTCTGCTGTCAACACCAATGGCCCTCGGACCGTGGCTACAGTGTTCGATGGCTCCGAGAACCATATCACTTATATCCCGACTCCCGTGGTTTTGCCATCAACCTACTATCCGCCAAATCAGAGCACTGTACAGCATTTTTCTGCCAGTACCGCTGACCCCCGGGAATTCCCTACAGTTCTTTTTGACCCTGTGGATTACACCATGACCACCCCTCGTAGCGCCCCTCTTGTGAATTTTCCGCTGATGTATCCCCACCAAGGCCAAAACGACACTCGGTATCTTGCTGTCTACCGAGATAATCTCCAGAACCTACCCACAGCGATTGACAACTCAGTGAATTCCATCACTCGTACCACCTCTCCTATGGCTTCATCGCTTGGACAGGCATCAGCTTAGCAACAGCCTTCTGACCGGTTTACAAACGCTCAAACACCCTATATTTATAATCACGGACGTGAGATACAGTGAGCCACCCAACCCCAAGCCCAAACGAAGAAAAGAGTAAACAGCTTACCCGGAACATACAATGATTTAGCAACCTGAAACCCATTTTTCAATGTCATTGGCCAGGCTGTGGTGGCACGTTCACAGCCAAGGGGTCATTGACACGCCATAATGCTGAGCAGCATACTGCCCAGTCATTCCCTTGTCCAATTACTGGATGTGACAAGGCCTATTCCCGGAAATATCATATGACCGAGCACAAGCGAAAGTCTCACGGGAGCATGGGATCTTTGGATGTTTGATTCATGGGACATGTAGATACATGAGATATACGTGTTGTGATATATGGGAGAATATTCACAAATTATGAAATGTCAATTTTTGTGATTGATCGCTGGAGATACAGTAGATAGAGTTATAAACCGTTCCACCGTGAAAGCAATCCATGAGACTATGTGGTTATTATTCGCGACCCGAAGCATAGATAAAATCATTTTCTCTGGCGTAATTGAGTTCCCTCTGATATTGTCGCTGATACTAGATCATACTGGCCTCCTTGATGGTACATAATCGGACCTTATTTGTAAGCTGGCCACGGCAGAGAAGTTGCATATGTCTTTTTCTTATGATAAGATCAATGCTATACAAGCAGCAATTGGCGCGACGTGGATGCATAGGGCACATATCGATATTGTAAACTACTCTAGAAATGTTGCGGCGATGATTTGTTTGCAAGTCAGTCTTTGTGTCCTAATTATGCATACTGCTCTCTTTGGTCCAATCAATGGAATAGGGATTTTAACGGGTTCAAAACAAAGTTTACAAGTGGAGCTATGCAGCTGCAGGGAGTGTATACAGAGTGCATGAGTGTCAGTCTAGGTAAAAGTTCTGGCATTTAGGAAAGAGAGCCCCCGCAGAAAAAAAAATCTCCATGGGGATTTGAGGCGCTAAAGAAATTCTTCGCATCGGCCCGCCCTGCATCACACCAGATACACTTTAAAGAATTCACGATTGTACTGTCCCACGACTATTGGGAGTTACTTCTACTATTTCCATTGATTTCATCTTTGCAAAATTCTCTCTCATCATGTATCCATCCAGGTAAATGTGGCCAGCTCCTGCATTATGCATGAAAAGCAACGTTACACGTTACACAGATCTTGATCGAGATCTACCGAGGATCCGCTTTGGGGATTTCCTGGGGTAGTGGCCCACCTGGTAACTACGCTAGTCCGAATGCAGATAGATCATCTTCTTATTTTGAGAACCTTGATCGTGTTAACTTCGGTAGGAGATATTGAACTACTATGAGCCAAACTCCCTTCACTGGCCTTGTGCGGAACCTGCTTTCAGTCAGACACGAACCGCAATCGGACTTTCAACTAACTTTTTTTGGCAAATTCATCGAAACTCTTGCTGACCAGCGGTGTAACATGTGAACAAAGAATACATCAATGTCAACAACAAGCATGTCTACGACTAGATCAGTAAGTTATCCCCTTCTTTCATATAGGCCTTCGAGCAAGCAGTTTCAACAATGGTATCTACAGATATTCTGGATCCAGGTAATGGCGACACGCTGACTGCGACCTTCTATGGACACTTCGATGGAAAGAATACTCCCCGCTTTTCTGCCCGGCAACATGCAGACTTAGTGCCGCATGGGAAAGGCTGATATGTACTATGGCGCAGACAACCGTGTGAATACCAAGAGAAATTCGAACCTATCAAGGGAGAAGATGGTAATCCCGCTTGTTGCAATGAGACACCAGGTCTTGAAGAAATCGCTAGTCCATACGTAGCTGGAGTTCAGTGCCAGCACTGATCTTGAATGCTAGGAGAATTATCGCAATCGGGCGTCCGAGAGTGGCATCAAATTAGAGACGGGGAAACCATAATAACGAGAACCCCATTCCAGAATGCCCCTGATTTCCTTCGGGCCAGTTGTTGATTCGACTTGATTAAAGACCTGGCTCGGAACAATTTACACAAATTTATACATCTCTGATGATATTTTATGACAGTCTATAGAATCTATTTCTTTCCCGGTATCTAAGCACCAGGATTGGGGGTTCATAGCGAAGCCGAAGCGACAGGAGCAAAGAAAGTAGTTTATCAGACAAACGAACGGAAATGGGGCGACTTCAGGCACGCAGGCAGCCACATGCTGTTGTAGGACTGTGTGTCAAAAGTTAGGGGTTCAATCAATAGTGTTCAAGATTCTTTGTGAAAACCTTATAGTACAAGGCCATGTCAAGATCTGCCGATTTATTATGACGAAAAATGGCTCCAATGGATCCCCCAGAGCGCTCACAAATAATCAATCATGACTATCGTAGAACTGATGCTTGGTAGGTAACAAGCGTTGTATCTAGACTTCCGCACCGGCCCACAAAGCCCAAAGCCCAACCCGTAAATGGGCCGGGTTTTGGGCCCGGTCTTTAGGCCCATAGCCCACTGCGGGTTGGGCTTTGGGCCTAGGGTGGGGGCCCATTTGTGGGCTTTGCGGAAGTCTAGTTGTATCACATGGTACTCGGCTCTACTGCACGGGTTGAATGCAAAACCTAGTTCAGCACAAATGTACCTTTTCTATGTCGTACGCATACCAAAGGTACTTATCTGTATATACACCTCTCTCTCTCTCTCTCGACTACCTCATTTGAGTATGGGACGATAAATTGTTAATAATAACCTACTTCCTTAAATTTGAAAATATAATTTTGATGTCTGGATCTTTTTGTTGTTATTTAAAAGTAGCAAAATTAAGAACCGCTATCAGAAGTGTGATATATATACAACATCCTCTGTAAGCTTTTCTCCAAAACCACAATCCTATTTTCATTTAGTTTCTATAATGCTATAACAAACAGGCTTTCCTATTTTGACTCTGCTTCTGCTCGATAAAAAAAACGATGTGAGCGAGAAAGACAAATTTTTTTTGAAGTACCTTTTGTATGTATATCTCATAGAAAAGGTACATTTTACATTGAATTAGTTTTTGCATCCAACCCGTGAAGTTAGAGCCGGGTATGTGTACATTTCTGTTGTGTCTGCTGACAGCGTGTTGGGTTGCAAAGCTTGAGCCCACTAAGGATTCATATTTATCCATTGCTGATAGCGGGCTGAGAGGTTTGAGATCTTGTAAGGTTCGTGGGAAACATGAGTACATAGCTTTATTGTTGATCCCTTTCTCCACAGGGAGGAAAAACAGACGTCACTCCGCGACCGGGTTTGGGCCAGAAGCTTACCGCCCGCCCTTCCGCCCTGGACATTTTGACGGGTTTTTTACTGCCTTCGGCGGACAGGCTATTTATTTCCTCGATCATTTAGTCCCTCGAGACCGATCGCTCATCACTTCAATTAAAATGAATCGCATTTCACCGGACTGAAAATTACTCGCCCTTCAACGAGCTTCAATGGCCCAATTTATTCCGCGCAGTGCATTCCCCCATCATGGGGCTATCCCAAGGTCCTATTTCTTAGGACACCACAGGGCTGGTTTGACCAAGATGAAGAGCATGCTCTCAACTATCGACTATGTTGTCGAATGCCGTGACTACCGAGCTCCCGTGACGTCGATTAACCCCATGTTTGAGGAAGCCTTGGGCAAGATGCGACGACTGATTGTCTACACCAAGAGAGATCTGGGAAGCATTCCCAAATCATCTGCCCAGAAAACAGTAAGAAACTTGCTTTGCTATGGAGTAGCCGAATATTATTAGATATCAGCTAACACAGTCGCAGACAGAACGCAAGTTGCAAAGTTTTGATCCAAAGAGCGCAGTGTTCTTCACCAGCTCATCCGACCGCCAAGATGTCAGCCAGATCATCAAACATCTTCGAAACGATGCCGAAGCTCCTGATAAGTTAGTGGGTTGTCGAGTGTTGGTTGTTGGAATGCCCAATGTCGGCAAGTCAACACTGATCAACAACCTGCGCAACTCGGGCACAGGCAAAGCCAAGGCTATGAAAACCGGACAGCAGCCCGGTGTCACACGCAAGATAGCCACACAGGTGAAAATAATTGACCGCGAGAATGGATCACACGTTTACGTCTTGGACACGCCGGGAGTGTTCATGCCGTATGTTGCGGACGCAGAGAACATGCTCAAGCTAGCTCTCTGTGGCTGTGTCAAAGATAATGTCATTTCAACCATCACTCTCGCGGACTACTTGTTGTATCATATAAACAAGCAAGATCCAACAGTCTACAAACGTTGGTCTGAACCGACAAATGACGTGGTTCCCTTGATCGAAAGCTTTGCGCGCCAGACTGGCTTGCTCGCAAAAGGCGGAGTGCCAATGATGGACGGAGCCGCGCTTCTTTTCATACAAAAGTGGAGGCAAGGAGAGCTAGGTCGATTTTTGATAGACGACCTAGAAGCAGAGCAACAAAAACGGGACGATCCTACGCAAACACCCCGCATGAGCATGACGCAGGCCTTGAGAGTGGAGAGGACAACCCGAAAGAACAAACCGGAAGCACCTAGCGATCTATAGTATACTGTATAAAAAAGGAAGGGGATATTTGTGTATATTTTGGAAATAATAATCAAGTGATGTCATTACGAACAAACAGAGGACGATGCTTGAAATGTGAAGATTTTGCAGAAGCACCTGTAACGCCCAACCCAAGCAAAGGACAGAGACTGAAGGAAGGAATTTTGGACGCAGAGTCGAAATCAAGAGATCTTGTCCAAAAGGCGACGGCGTCGCCTATCTACAAGCTCTTCCTGGACCTCATCCAGCGTCGGGAGCCTCCATTCCACCCCGTCACCCGCATCGCCAGGGAGAGATTGCCAGCCATCTTCAGCATCATCCTCTCCTTGATGACGGAGATGTTCAACAGACTCCTTCTCCTTCTGCTTCTCGTACGCCAATAACGTGCCATCTTCTTCATCTAGGCCATAGCCGAAGTAATTCGCATCCACCTTCCTTGTCGCAATATCTCCACCACGCCCAGACACTGTCTCTTCCTCCTCAGGCCCTTTGGCGCGAGTAATTGCAGCCTCAATCATTTCCTTGACACCAGGTAACTCGCGGGCACGGCCGTAATATTTGTAGCCTCTGCCTCCACCGGGGATTTCGCGCCCTTCGTCATCGTAAAGCCGGTTCGATCCACGCATGTAGTTCGGTCCGCCCAGGTTGCGGATTTGCATTTCCCATGCCCATTTCTCGCGCATGAGCTTGTTGATCTCATCGTTGAGATCTCGAATCTGGTAGTCGCTCAGGCTTTGCACATGGATGCGTGATACTTTGCGCGAAATCTCTTTGACGACTTGTCCGCGCCAGCGCTCGCATACTGGCACTGTGTCAATAGATGTAATGGCTTTGGGGCGTCGTGTTCGTGAGAGATCGATGATTCCAAGGTCGGATGCTTGCTGCGCTCGGAAGCGGAACAGCATCGACTGTGCTTTTTCGCTGTTACGTGCCTGTTACATAGGCGGGGGTTGAGTTAGCAAAATGTGATTGGACTTGGATGTAGGAATTCTCTCGTAGATCTGAGCCTATAAGGATAAATCTCACCATTATGAAGAATTGACCAAGTCAGCGACCCGAGTAAGTCGGGTATCGTGGGCGTTGGCAGGGAAGAAATCCGGAGAGGAAATCATGAGCTTGACAGCTTGGAGTGAAGTTGCGCGCTAATTGCCGCCTGCCGCGCGGATATCACGTGTCTTGTTTCCACTTATTACCAACGTCAGTACGGAGTACACCAGCAGCCATATGTGTTTGTTGTTGGCGCTTCCGAGCATATATTTAGAAAAACTTCTATCTGCCAAAAACAACCTTGTTTGTTAACTATTTACCAGTCTCATAGCTCTATTCGGAACGAAAGGGCTGTGTCACAATAAGACAATAACAAGGTTACAACGAAGAGGGTATTCCAACCGATACCAATACGAGGAACCTGCTGCCCTACGGTGACTACACGCTGTCCAACTGACTCATAGGGTCAATGCCTTTTGGATGGACTATATGACGCGGTGTGTGGTCCATGTGATGGAGCATTTCTCTTACGGGAGGTTATGGGGAAAATGAGATAACGATAAGTGATATGGGTAATTGACAAACAAGGAGAATCATTCAACCTCAAGAACGTTTGCTCAAATCTAGCGTACATTCGTGTTCACAAGCATCGAATTCAGTTCCTCTGGGGTGTCCATAAAGTCCATCACGATCGTTCCGAAATGACCCTCGGGATCCTCCTCTAGATATTCAAGAAAGGGAACGGTGTCTGAGGCCAGAGACCAACGATCCGGATTGCCAAATACGAGCTTTTGGACTGCCTTAACGAACTGGGTTATTTTGCTTGTATCCTCAGATTGCAACGACATGATAAAGGCAAGAAATTTGTAGATATCGAACACCCCGGCAATGGTCAGTTCAGGCTCCACGGGGTAGCGGCCATGGCAAGCTAAGGGGTCGCAACTATCAGCTTCTGAATCTGCCGCAAATCTCTAAGAAGCGAATTCCGGCTGTCAATTGGCTGAGCAAATATGCGTTCTGAGTGCCATTGATGACAAATAATGGACTAGATATTGTCCGCATATCCCTGCGACAAGAAAAGAAAATCGGCACAAAGCACTTATACTTCCATACCTACCTCCGCTCCGACAGCCTGCTGGAGCTGACAAGACGCTGATCTGGGATAACTGCAGGGAGAGCTCTGTATATGACCCTCTAGCCAGCAGCAACGATGGTCAGTATTTCCATATCAAATTTATCCGTACAACTCGCGAGGTGAATACCAGGGAGAGCTAGTCCGAGTCGTCCCTGCCATCTTGGAGATCTTGAGATGGTATGGTGTTCTAGGCGCACGTCTCTTTGCCGCGGGTACGCATGAATGGTGCGGGCAGCAGCCATATCTAGGTCAGACTTCTATCGGGGCTGAATTGGGCAGCGAGGGCGATTGGGAAAACGACTTCATGGCCTGGGCTTCTGCAGATCAGTGGGCGGATGTGAATGCCTTCAGATCACAAATTAAAAGACAATATGGCACATGGGCCGTGGGTTATATCTTTGGATGATCCAAGTCGGCAGTATGTTCGAGGCTATCAGGTTGAGAAGCGTCCGCTCCGGTGAACGACCGCTTGTTCGACTGTGCCAGTAGGTATACAGACCTCGTTCAAAGCCCAAATAGCGCCGAAGCAGATAGGTATATCATAACAGAGCGAGAACTTTTCACACTTATCTTTCTTGAAATACGTATTCGACATCCGTATGGAGTTGGAGAGACGGGAGTGCTATAGACCAACTATTGCAGACTCGAAAACAGGGAGCCAGTCGGAATTTGTCTCTCCCAGAATACGAAACGCCCTATATTCGTAGTAACCAAGCAGTGTGATGACGAAAAAGATTGACAAATGGGGGGTTGGTAAGTTGTTACATTCTCATCACTGTAGATAGCCTAGTCCACCCGTGGAGCATATTTACTCAAAAACACAAAACTGAAACAAAAATCAACGCCGGAAGATACAAACTGAGGGGGAAAAGCTTTGCCTCTCAAGTAATATGAACAGGCCAGAGACAAGCAGAAAAGACTGAAACATCCCTTTCCCAAATGCAAATAAACACCATTAATACAGAACAGCCATCCATGATAATTGTTACAACTCCAAGCAGGAATCTGCCTGCTAAACATCACTTAGTCATATTCACAAAAAGCCCTTGGTGTTGCTGGGTTGCCGTTGGGGAATGTCATTCGATCCATAGACACCACTCCCGCGACGGCTTCCGGCATCACTGAAGGCCACGGCATTACGCCCAATTGTACTGCCCCGCTCAACGCGCAGGGCCTTCCAGCCTTCCAGCTCACGTTCCAGTCGCAATGCTTTCTCACGCTCCTCACGGAGATCTCGCTCAGCGCGGCGGGCCAGCAGCTGCGCGTCCGAGTCGTTATGCTGGAGCTCCTCGATGTTTCGAAGGAGCCGTTCAATCTTGTCCCGAGCTCTGTTCAGATCGTCATTCAGTTGAGCATTCATCTTATCACGCCTGTCAATCTGGGATTGGAGGTCCTTGACAGTGCGATCAACGTTGCGAAGAGAGCGCTGCTCGGAACTGTGCTTGCTCTCCTGGTCTTCCAGGTGTGTTTCAAGCTAAAAGGCCAGGTTAGTAGGAAAGTCACGGACGGAAGCAAGCATGTATTTCCTAGAACTTACCTCCTTAATTCGTTTATGCAAGAAGCGAACATCCTGGCTACCAGAGGAGTAGCTCTTGGTTTCCAGATCGACACACCTGAGTTGAGCCTCCTTCAGCTGCTTCTCAAGTGCTGCCTTGTCCTTGAAGAGTTGTGCGTTGGCCTCCCGCTCAGCAGTGACCTCCTTCTGCATCTCAGTTGCCAGGGCGTCTGCGCGGCGCATCTTACCAACCGCGGCGGCAGAAACATCTTCCTGCTGTGCAATCCTGGACTTGAGCTCAAGCAGCTCACGGTCCATACTGGCAGCATTTCGCATTGATGGGCTCTCGCCCTTGGCAAGGTCTTCAAGTCGCTCGCCAGCTTCAGCCAATCGGCCTTCCAGCATTTTCTTGTCCTTCAGAAGCAGGTCGCGCTCTGCCTGAACGTCCTCGACGGAAGTCCGAAGGTTGCGGACCTGGGACAAGAGTGAAACAACCTTGCTCTGAGCCTCGTTGTGTGCGTTGACAGCTTCGTCACGAGAGTTGGTCACATCCTGTAGAACGACATCCATGCGTGATTTCTCCTTGGCCCATGTTGAGCTATTGAGAACTTCGTTGTCCCATTTGCTGCGAAGGTCTTCCAACTCCTCACGGAGACGGGCAGTCTCTCCACGGCCGTTGAGGACACGCTCACGCTCCATCTCAAGTTCATTGTTGAGAGTAGAGAATTCTCTTTGGTACTTTTGTCTGGTTTGTTCCATGGAGGTCTCCTTGTCCTCGAGATCAATCGCACGCTGGTTGCGATAATCTTCTAATTCATTCTGTAGACGTTGCTTAGCTTGTAAGGCACCTTGAAGCTCTGCAGCTTGATCCTCCATCCGAGCCTCGAGGGACTGTGCCTGTCGCTGCAAGTCCTCAACAAGTGCATCCATCTCCTTGCGCTCAGACATAATCTGGGCGCATGTTTCTTCGGCTTCTTGGCCTTGCGATTTGGCAAATTGCTCGGCCCGTGAAGCCTTCATGACGGCAATTTCGGCCTGCTCAAGCTTGTTAAAGTACTCATCGGACCGACTCTTGTACAACATGAGGCTTGACTCCAAATCAGCCGACCTCGAAGACTCAGCATCTAGGCGAATCTGGAGATCCGAGAATTCTTGAAGAAGTTGATTACGGCTGAGGGCATCTTGTTCTCTGCCAACTTGTAGCTCTTGGGCCTCGGAACGGGCATCACGGAGTTCAACCTCCAGCGTCGCTCGGGCACGCTTCAACTTCTCGAAGTGGGCTCTGGCATCACCAAACTCGGCAATAGTCTCATTGTGAACCTTGAGAAGAGAGCGCCTGGACTGCTCTTGCGAGTTGATAAAATCGTATAGCTCTTCGTGCGATTTAGCCTGAACGTCACGGAGGGACAATTCTCCGGAGCGGATGCTACGCTCCAACGACGAAACCTTCTTGGAAGAATCATCAAGTTGGTCGTGAAGACGGCCATTCTCTCGCTCGAGAAGCTGCATGCGGCGAATTGAAGGACTATCATCCTGCCAGATATCTGCGGTGGGAGTGGAACGCCCAAGCTGGCTCTGGAGGTGCTTGTTTTGCATCTCGGTCATCTGAAGCTTATTCTGAAGTTCTTCTAGCTCGGCGGCTGTATCCATGCGCCTTTGGTAGCCCTGTGTATCCACTGTTCGGTCGGACCGTGCGGAATCATTTGCTCCTTCGAAGACATTGTAGCGTCGGTTGGGCGTAGTAGGGTTAGAAAACCTCTTTGCAGCATTTTCTGAGTTTTTCCTGAGGTGAGCCGGGGTACGATTGTTGGTCACTTCATTTTGGTCAATCTCTTCGAGCAAAGCGCGCTTGGAGGATGAATATTTGATATCGAGCTCCTTCATTTCATCCGCATGGCGTCGCCGCATTTCAGCAAGCTGGCTCTCCGCCCTCGCGTACTTCTCCTCGGTGACTCCAAGCTTGCTCTGAACAGTTTTTAGAACTTGGGCCAAATCAACTTGCTTGGATAGGTGTGGCTGGACAGCCTCCCAGGATTGAGCGGGCTCAGTGGCCTCAGGCTCAAAGACCTTGTGCAATAGGATCAATTGGCGGTGCAAGTCCTCAATCTCCTTGTTCGCTCTCTCAAGGGTACTCTGGGTCTGACGGGTATTAGCTTGGGCTTGATTGCGAAGTTGTCGTTCGGTCTCAAGCTTGCGATTGGCCTCTGCAAGTTGTAGGTTCGCTGCTGAAGCAGCCTTCTCAGCATTACGACTGGTCTTGTGTTCACGATTGACCTCATGGTTCAAATCCTCCAAGCTCAATGACAACTTCTCCTTCTGCTTCTCCAGAGATGTAATCATGACTTGCGAGTCTTCAACTTGACGACTCAGTTTCTTGGTCTCCTCGTCGAGCCTGGCCTTCTCCTTCTGAAGATTGGTTAGACGGAGTCGATTGCTATCACTAGCCTTCGAGTTTGATCGGGCAATGTCAAGGTTCTTTTGTTGGATTTTGGTCAAAAGAGACCTGTTGTCGTTTTCAGAGGCCGTCAGCCTGCCTCTGAGAGTCACGAGCTCTCGTTCAAGACGCTCTTTGTGTTGATCGTGGCGCAGACGGAAGTTTTCAGATTCAGAGATTGAGTGCATGAGCTCCTGAATCCGCGCCGAGAGGTGCGATCGTTCTGTTTCTACCTCTTCGAGCTGCCGAGCCTTTTCCTCGAGGTCCTTGCGTGAACTTGTCATGCGCTCCTCAGCCTGGCTCATGATCTTTCGTTCGATCTCAGCCTCGGCATTCATGCGGGCAGTTTCGGCATCCGTGAACCTCTCCCGAAGCTTGATCAATTCACCTTGCAGTTCCTTCCTCGTTGTTTCTGCGGCAACGCGCGCCTCCGTAGCACGACGCAAACTATCTTGCTGAATATACATCTCTTTCTCAATGGTAATCTTAGAGTCGTTTAGCGCCTCATACTTATGAGTTAACTGTGCAAGATTGTGCTCGGAAAGCATTTGCACATCATCCCGTGACTGGCGTTCTCGGCTCAAGTCAGCTTGAGCTTGGAATAGCTGGCTCTTGAGACCATTTATCTGCTCCTCTAGCAGCTTCCTGCTCTCTCCAGCCTCAGCGTCCTCGGATCTTTTGTTCTCAAGTAGATTCTTGAGGTCGATAGCTTCACGTTGAAGTTGAGCCTGTTCGGAGCGCATGGCGTCTCTTTCGGCTTGTACCTCACGGAGTCTTGATTGCATGTTGTCGTGGCGTGACGAAAGTGAAGCCTTTTCGGACTCAGCGCTTCTCTTCTCCTCCTCGTGCTTCTGAACGTCTTTCCTAAGAACTGCGATCTCGCTCTCTTTTCGACGAAGCATCTCTTCGTAGCCCGTAGAGGTTCTGGAAAGTTCGGAAATCTGGTCACGAATTGATCTGTTCTCTTCAGAGATATCACGAATTTGTTTCTTTGAATTGTCGAGTTCCTTGGAGGTGTTTATGAGTTTCATCTCAAGATCATGGTCGGTTTTCAGTAGCTTAGCTTCCAGGTCTTGAAGTTTACGATCCTTCAGGCTGAGGTGGCTTTGGAGCATTTTAATCTCCTGGCCGAGCTCTTGAATTTGACCGTTCTTTCCAGAGAACTGGGTTTCCGTTTCGGAAAGCTTGGTTTCAAGTTCCTTGACTTGAGACTGCAAACTGTTCTTTTCTGACTCGAGTTGCTGAATGATCAAACCGGCCTGTTCCAACTGGGTAATCCGAAGTTGCAGCTGGTCGTCGATCCTCCTCTTCGCATCAACCAACTCATCCAATTGCTCTTCGAGTCCTTCCTGGTCAGCAATTGCGCCAGCAAGTTTGTCGGCGAGCTCCACTTCTCGGTCTTGCAGTCGCTTGAAAATCTCCTCCTTGTCCAATGCAAGGGCACGTTCACTCTCCAAGGTATGCTGTATCTTCTGGATTTCGATCTCAGTCCGTCGTCTTTCTTCATCCAGCTTGTTCCGGTCGGCAAGATCCTGTTTCATCTTGGCTTCGAGTTGTTGAATTTTGTCGTCACGTTTCTTTACCTCCTTCGCATTTCTCGTGTCACCCAGTAGGGGCTTCATTCTCGAGAACATACGCCACCATGGGCTCCCCTTCAAGTCGAGGTAAGCGTGGAAGTTCTGTTGGATAATCCTAGTTGCCTCCGCGCGGTAGAGTCGCTTGTTGGAAATACGGCGCTGAACGAATCCCCGCGCCACGGACTGGAACCTTGTCATGATATTTCGAATGAGTTGGTCACGTTTCTCTTCTAGATCGGCCAGGACACCTGCTCTGAAGAAAACCTTGGTGCGACCAACGCGGTACCAAGCGCGATCCATGCCGAGCTTTTCCAGCATAATGCGAGCAACACTTTGTCCTTCCAAATACCCCTTCGGCATGTGCTGGCAGAGGACCTCATAACGCTGTCGAAACTCCGTGAATGGCAAGCGGTTGGGGAATCCAGTACGAGCAATTCTGATACCTTCGAGAACACCGTTGCATCGAAGTTGGTCTAACACCAATGGAGCGTGCAACATCTTTGGCCGCTTCTTATGATTAGGCAGGATACAACGAACAAAATGAGGGTGGGTTGAGTGGAGCTGAGCCATCAGACTAGATAGCTGTTCTTTGTGCCTTTGTGCGACCGTGCGGAACAAGCCCTTCTTGACACGGCTTCTCGGATGGCTCCCACCATCCTCTTCCAAGTCTGCACAGTCAGAGAACAGATGAGCTACATGCGGCGCTTTCGATGCGGCCAAGAGGCGCGTGATGTTGTCGTTCAGTGGGTCCTTGTTCTTTTCAAGCCAATCACTCGTGTTATACTCAACTTCCGCGGCATAATGAGTGAGAATGAAGCCTTGATTGAGACGAGACGCGCGATACTTCGGGGTCTTGCGATCCCAAAGGCCATGGAGCTTCTCCGTGAATGATTTGTCTGTGGCCTTCGGCATGACACAATCCTCATCGAGGCAAGAGAAGATACCAATAGGGTTGGTCATCTCGATCAGGTCAATGGTTGGCTGAAGGTCCTTCCCGAAGTCAATAAATTGCCACTCAATCTGCTCCCTCGCGTATTCTTCTTGCTCGAGGACAAACATATGGTGGTTGAAAAATTGCTGAAGCTTCTCATTTGTGTAGTTGATGCACAGTTGCTCAAAGCTGTTGTTATCGAAAATTTCGAATCCAGCAATATCAAGAACCCCAATAAAATAGTTGTCGTCACTGGCCATCGAGCGACCAAGCTGGCCGTTGATTCTAGCCACAAGGTTCCCAAATCCGCGCTCGTAGATACCCTTTGAGAGGGCATCTAGGGCCATGCGGACCTGTTCTGGCGTTTGAACCCTCTCCACCCATTCCCGGCCGGCCTTCACGCGTGGATGTAGAAGGCCTTTGACGAATGCTTCGGTTTCAATGCCAAGAAGGTGGCAAGCCCTTTCCACGCTAGGGTATCCCTCCGGCACCAGAGTTGCCTGGTCTGCGCGCAGACTCGCCTTTGCAACGCCCACATTCCCCAGGTGCAGTACAGCAGCAACAGTCCGTAGGATACATAGCTGATCTTCCTCGTCAAAGTCCATCACATGGAAGGCTTCTATCAATGAGTTCCACTCTTCCTGGTCAGAGACGCCGACGATAGAGTCATTTCCATCTCTCGTATATGCAAAATCCTCGATCTGAAGGTCGTCTAGAAGAAGCTTGTCGCGTGTTTTGCGGTCTGCGCCCTGGAGTAGCTGGTAGAAAACGTGATAGTTCCTCTCGTTAGGGTTAGGCTTGACGACTCTTGATTTCTCGAGCAAATACCAATCAATCCAAGCCCCAGAAATTTGGCCCGAACGCGAGAATTCAATGCGAATGAACTTTCCGAAGCGGGACGAGTTGTGGTTTCGGACCGTTTGGGCGTTGCCGAAGGCTTCAAGAATAGGGTTGGCCCGTAGGATCTGTTGCGAAAGGCCGGTGATTTGTTTTGCTCCAGACCGGCCATAAGGCGTATCAGAAGTGGCGACAGCAGCGAGGTACTGGATGACCTTCTTCGTGTTTTCTGTTTTGCCTGCACCCGACTCCCCTGTCACGAGGATACTTTGGTTCTGGCCCTCCTCGACGAGGTTCCGGAATGCCTCATCCGCCATGGCAAAAATATGGGGTCTTGTCTCTTCTTTCCCACGACCCTTGTACATTTTTATGTACTCATTGGTGTAGATTGGTAGTGGACAGTAGGGATTGATTGTTACCAGGAAAAGCCCAGAATAAGTCTATGCAATTAATAACTGAGTTAGTCGGTTTCGATCGGTGTACATGTTTTCGGGTGTGACGAACATAGATTAGGTCTGACTGATATCTGGTATGCAGGTTGTGCACCACAGACGCCTCGTTCAGATGTGTGAGTTCTGCCATATCATCTGCCTTGTCAAACTTGGCAGGATTTACTTTGTCGACCTGGTCCGCATCAACTTCTCGTTGCTAGTCAAGTATCAGCGCATTTTCCTTCGTAATGGGATTATATCCATACGTCGCCATCGTCAGTTTGCACTAAAAGGCTCCCTCCTTCAAATTCCTCCAGAACCAGGCCCCGCAAGAATGCCTTTTGGGGGTCCCGTAGCCAGACATACTTGTTCCCCGAGAAGTCATTTTCACCTTCGAGTCCACGAATCTGATCCGCTCCCCGTCGTAGTTCCTCCGATTTGATAAAGCTTGGGGCAAATGTCCCGGAGGAGGGACTGTTCTTTGCAGAGTTTGATCGCTCACGATTTCCGCTGAGTGGTAATGATGCGGACAACTGGGACATGGATGAGTTGCGCAGATGACCTCTCGCCGACTCTAGCCCATGGCCCGGTGTAATAATGGTTGATTTTGGCCTCGCCTGTGGTGATTGGGTTCCTTGTGAAGGGGATGGGCGTGAAAATAGACTGGCACGCTTGGGCGAGCCGTTCAACTGGGAGGGAAGCATGACGATTGTTGTTCAATGGGACATTATTTGGGTGTAGCTTTCGTTATCATAGCCAAGATTATTTCCGTGCTCTCAGTTGTAAGTTTGGTGGAGGTGAGTGCAAAAGGACGCTCAAAATAGAAAAATCCAAATAGAATACAGTCAGGAAAAGTGTGAAGTTGGCAAATGGTTGGAAGAAAAGGGAAGATGTTCGAAGTGACGCACCCCAATCTCCATGATGTTTGTTTACTCTGCGTTCCTCGGGCGCCCGCCGATCGCAGGCGGCCCGTGCATTTATCACGTGAGATACTCGATCATTTTTGTCAAAGGCGCTTAGACCGTAATAGGAGACCGCGTATCTCAATTCTTCTCGAGTTCAGCACCCTTACCCATCTCTTTCTCATCCTCTAACCTGGTATTCGCAGTCGCATGGCCCTTTTTCTCCTCTAAATCGCCCTCAAATCATCATCCTCCCTCACAGTAACTCCTAAATTCGAGTCTTGCATATCCTCTTCCCGAAGACCTACTGGTGCCTCTCCACCCGCTTAACCCTTCAAGACATCATGAGATTTGGTCTTTGAAATAGCGAACTCTCTTCGACACCAGCGTTTCCATCTTGAATATATTTGAGCATAATTGACTTCCCTCTCTGCGCACAATATCATCATGTCTGACCAACCTCCCTCACACGGTGGCCATCCGAACTATGCGCAACAATGGCCTCCCGCATATCCCTCGATGATTCCCTCAAACTTTCCCATCACTTCAGACTATTCTCACACGAATCAGCCTCCAGCGACAAATCCCAGGTCAACATTTGACTATAACATGGCAAGCGTCAACGCGAATTCGCGAACCCCAGGTTCAAATGGCCCTGGAAACTTGGCATTCGTTCCGCCTCAATTCCCCTTCTTCAATAATTTCGATGCTTCACAATTTCCACCTCCTTTCCCTCCAATGCCGTTTGTTCCGATGGGTTATCCTCCAATGCCAACGGGGTCCTCAAATGGCCCTATGTCATATCAGGGTATGGACGGACGTGGAACACACCAACTCTCAACACCGGCCATACACTTGAAAGATGCCCCAGCTCCGGCAGATAACCACCGCGAGGAAGGCGAAGTTAGTGAGGAATCGGAGGAAAGGTCACTACAGCAGGTGGGCAAGGCTACACGCCAGTATTTGGACCTGGAGGAAGGAGAAACCATGTCTTCTAGCGCGCAGTCTGCCAGGAGTAGTGGCTCACGTATCACACCCATGCTTTCCTATGTTTGGTTCTGCTTGACTAATATCTTGCAGCATACAATCCTCCTTTGTCAGTCTCAGCAGATGCCAGCATGGTCCACCATGCGACGCAGTCTCAGCGACAGGACCCGCCCGCGATTGTCCCAGGCCTTCCACCTCAGAAATCGGTGGCACAGCTACGAATTCAAGCTCAAGGCGCTTTGCTTAGCTTGGCGCCACATAATATCCGCTACAATGAACTGGTCGCGGAGGGTATTGACCCTACGATCTTGAAACGCCTCTACGAAGACGTCGGCATCAAAGTCACTACTCCACCTGGGCAATCTTTACCAGCCAGTGAGAAGGCTTCCTCCCCGTCTACAGTTGCTGCCAAGGAACTAGGATCCAGCAAACCAGCTCAGATGGCCAAGATAGCGGCAGAAAATCACAGTATCACGAAGTCAGATCTGCCAGTTGTCCAACCTCCTGCCCCATCCGCCACCGCTACTTCAAAATCCGGCAAGCCTCTGGAGCGAAAGGAACTTATTGCCCGGATGTTGGCTGAGAAAGCTGCAAAAGCCACATCCAAAGAGACTTCGCCAACTGGCAGTGTGAAATCACCTCCTGCGATACCAGTTGAAGAACCACTGCCAGCTCAGAAGGAAACTCTCATAAAGGAGAAGAGCAAAGCTCAGACGGAGTTAGCAAGGCAGCGAATTGAGGAACTGAAGAAGCAGACTCTACTGAAGACCCAAAAATTGACACAGGCAACTCTGCCGCCCACCCATGTAGAGTCTCCGGCACCAGCTATTCAACACCCGCTTCCCGTTCGACCTCCAGTGCCTGAATCTCGTCGCTCTACTGGGCTCCCCGGACTTCTCATGACTGGATTGGAGCAGGGGCCACATGAAGCTCTTGCTCCTGAGCCGGTACAAGTGATCGACGTCGACTCAACACCGGTGTCTCGAGCATCCCAACGCAAGCGCCCTCGAGCTTCCGACTTTGATGAGCCAATCGCACCTCCGAAGAAGCATTTCAACCCAAGTGCGACTCGGTTCGACCCCACCGATAAGCTGATCATTGCAATCAGCGACGACGAGGAGTCACTTTACGGCGATGATGAGGACGACAACATGGATTTGGATTCGAGTTCAGAACAGGAGCCAGCGCCGATAGTGACCTCGACAAGCGTCAAGCCTTCCGTTCAATCAAATCTGCCTGTCACCAGGGCTTCGACATCCACACCACAAGCCCCTCCTAGTCTCGGTGACCAAGGAGACATTCGACTTAAAGATATGGAGATTCAAGCTATGCGCCGTAAGATCGCAGAGCTCGAACTACGAAGAAAATCGAAGCTCGCTGCTAGCCGGACCCAGTCACCTCGCATCCTAGATGACTCCGGGGCATCATCATGCGGTGGACCATCCAATGGGGTCGGCGCTACTTCTGAAGAAGGTAAAGACATCTGCATCTTCTTTCTCTCTCTTTTGCTGGGACATGTTCATTCTCATGTGTTTTGAGGAAATTTTGGCTATTCAGCTAACCATTATTCAGATTCATTGAAAACTCAACCGACTGAGGCCGCCCCTAACACGCTCGTACCTGTCACCCCTTCTAGCCAGCAAGAAGCAATAGCCGAAGCCGAAGCCGCTGTCACCCAACAACCGCCTGAAGAAGTCTCCGCCGGTGAAGTGGTGAATAATATAATCGATAACACCGCAGAGGCATCGGCTTCATATCGGTCCGATTCTGCTGGGTCAGCTATGCAAGAATCTGATGACAGCAGCAGTGATAGTTCCGATTCGTCCAGCGAGAGTGAGGACGAAGCCGCCAGCACACCAGTGCAAGTCGATGCCGACTCTGCTACTGTGCCGTCATTTTCAGAGCCTATGGAGGTTGACTCCTCGGAGCGATCGGCGCCTCGGAGCTCCCCCTCTGCCATCACCCGTCCTAGTGCATCTTCCTGCGACGAATACCCTTCTCAGCGTGACCCTAGCGAACAATCTCGGCGTGAAATGTCTGTCGAGTCCGACGGCTATGAGCCCCCAGAGCCTGATACTGAAGCTCAGTCGGAAGGCTCGAGTTACAGCCCTCCTCCATTCAGCCCAGCTCTTTCCGGTCTTGTAGAAAACACAACAGGCTCGGCACCATCATTTGACTTGACTCGATCTGAAAAACTAACCAGCGAGCCTCATATGTCAGACGTGTCAGACCCATTACCTCGGTCGGATTTGCAGGTCGGCGCTCCTGGCGTATGAACACTACCCTCCTCAAAGGATGTTTATTTTGACCACGTACTAACTCTATCCAGACCGAAACATCTTCCGCAATTTCAGAGCAAAAATTCACGCCGTACACCAGCCCACTGCGAACTTTCAAGGCTTATCGCTACCACCCGCATTATGCCGAAGACGTTCCGAGTGGCTACCGCTCGCTAACTTACAGTCATAATATCGATTCCATGAAGTACATGTGTCCATATGAGTTAGCCGGAGGTGTCTGCAATGACCGATCCTGCGAGTTTCAGCATCTTCGGGACATGACTCTAAGCGGTGCGTCGACATGAACAACGTGCAACACCCCACCTCGCCTTCGAGCTTCCCCCGGCGTATTGCACTATCTAGTCTGTTTCTACTTTCTGTTTACTGCTCTACTGCCTCCGTCTCTACTTCTACTTCCTCCCCTTCCTACTCATTTGCCATCTCCTTTCTACCCTGTTCGAATGCTGACCACAGAGCCGTTAACCTCGACAGACGACAAGATTCTCGTCCAGATGGGCTCCGTCCGAGAGGGCCAAACCGAAGAAGAAAAAGAAGCATATCTCGCTGGTTTGAAAGAAACCATCAATGATTTACGGCGTGACAAGGTGAAAGATTTCAACACTGTGGCCTCCGAGATAGCCGCATACCGTAGGCGCTTCCTCCAAGACCCATCCCGTGTCTTGTCCCTGTAACATTCGTCCTCATTCATTGGACTCTTTGAGAGTCCTCTCCAGGTGAGCTGTCTTCCGTCAGTCTTGTGAACACCACCATCGAAGTTTTATCGATGGTGGGGGAAAAACATCATCACACCACATGGACTCAGACAATCCTCGCCATGCCGTCGTCCATTTCTCAATACGATATCCCATGCCATGGTCTCTTTTCAGGGCTTTCTCGTTCATGACCTGGCTTTTTCTCTGCATCATTAGCCAATCCGGTGTTTTCTTGCCTGCATTACAATTGCATTTGATCTGCGCGGTTGAGGGCCTCGTGTTCTTTGGGGTCACCTTTTATTTCCCTTTCCTTGTCTGAATATAGGCTCTGGGCCTTTCGTCCATTGACCCGATAAAATGGTGCTGGGCGTCTACATCTCAGCTGCTCGTAACTTTTGGCAGTCTCGGCAGTTTCCAGCCCTGAGGGAGCACTGGCTACTGCTAATCTGCAAAAGGCGGACGCCTCTCCCGGGTGCAGTTATACCATTAGAATATCGGCGAGATTTCGCAGAACATATTCATAGCAATCAGTCAATATGTATTTTTTTCTATACAACCATTGATCTTTTCCCATCTTTACTAGAAATGAAATAAGCACCAATCAATCACCTTGCAGTTTGCTCGGATTATGCATAAGTTCTGAGTCAATCCATTTAATCACCCTTGTCCCTGCAACCTCGCTAAGGCTATTGACTCATTCATGCTTAGCCTCAAGAATAAAACAGGGAAAATAAATTACTCTGAATCAAATTCTAACTGGAAAGAGCCTAGCTAGACACCACAGATGATCGCAAATATGTCACATATATATTTTCAGCTGGGATCAGCCGAGCTGAGAAATGCAAAAAACGAGCTCAAATCTAAAAAAAATATGCCCGGACCCCTAGTAGAAAGACCTGATTCCTATAAAAGCAAGAAGCTGTGGGTTCCTGCGGCTGGTAGCCAAGTATAGCGTGCAGAGTCCTGCCGGGGCGATGGGGGCCAGGGTTCGTGCGACTGTTGCAGTATTCAGAGATCCAGGGATAACAATAGTAAATTGATCGTATGCAGTACGGAGTATACGGTAAGCTTGATGTTTTAATGTTCTCATTTCTAGTCAAAACAAGACAATAATATTTTTCCTATTCCCGAAACAGATCTATACGAGTTGAGTCAGGGCAAGGCAGACCAGCGGACCGGATGTCTTGGATTCAACAAATTCTTGCTGATTGGCTCGGGGCTTCCTCTCTTTCGGTGAGATTTCTTCTCTTGTATTGGCATTGTGTATGTACATTGTAGGTCCTATAGTCATATATCCATGCGAAAAATGGATGGCGCGCCCAGCGCCCGAGAGCGAAGTCAGCGACCGGGCAAAGATCGGAAGCCTAAGAAAATAGCCAAGGAAAATACTAGTAGGTGACTGGGTATCAAAGTAATCTGCGTCTATGCCGATTTACAGCATATACGTCAAGTCTGGAGCTGATGGGACGACAAGCGCGTTGGAGGGGAAAAGCCAAGCAAAACCGTCCCGGGCGCACAGTCCAGCACAGCCTCAACGTCTAGAATGCCAGTGCTCAAGTGGGGGCTACGCGATCATGACATAGAAAGTTGAATATAGCGAAACGGGAATAACATCATGGAACATGCCATAGGGGGCTGAGTCCATGTCAGCATGAAGGAAATACTGAAAAGGTTCCAGGGTAATCAAGGGTGAAGATGCTCAAATGTTAAAGTAGCGGAGAACAAGGGTTGATAGACATGATGTGTGTTAGTTTCCGAGTACCAAGACCGCTTTTTTACTATGAGCCATAGGGCTGTTTGCTGCAGATTCCAGGCCAAAGGAGCGGTAACAAAAGGAAGACCAGTCATGGCCTGCATACGGCGTACATCATAGGGTCCATCTATGGCTAAGCCGCAGATGCTTCTAACCAACCACGATGCTCGAGGCTCGTGAGGCTCCGAACAGGGGGGGGGATTTTGCTGCACGCCTTGAAGATCATGACTCTACACCTTGGCAAAAGATAAAATAGTAATAGTAAGATTGATATATTATAAGCCAAAATCAAAAACAAAATGAAAACGAAAATGAAATAGCCAAGGCAGAGCAGGGCTGACCTGGGGGAAATTCCAGCCCCACGGGCCTCGCCCTAAACCAAATCAGGAAGCCGCAAGTATACAAATTCTAGTCTAACAAAAAGAAAACCGAAAAGCAGATAATACACCAGGATATATGCTCATGACCCATGAACCGCTTTGCATAACAATCATTAGTCCAGAAACAAGGAGAACATCCCCTAAAAAAAGCAAAAGTAGAGTTTGAAATCGCTATGTCGAACCGTCAGCTTCAAGGACCACCGAAATGCTGAGTGAGCATCGGACTGGCATACCATTGGATTCGTAGCACCCTGTCTCGGCCCGCAAGACAGCGCTCTCAAACAAGTCTCACTTGACATAAGTGCAATTGCTGCAGGCCATGTGGCTGCAGCTCACACACTGGGGTTGATGGTTGTAGATCTTGGGTCCGTCATTGCACGCGCAGCAGATGTACATGTAGGTTTCACTGTTGTACCTGGTTCCAGGTAGTGACACCGGCGAGATGCCTGAGCAGTCGGCCCGTGGTAGAGGCCGTAGACCGGGAAGCTCTGGTACGACCATTGGCATGGCTGTGGTCCTCAAGGTTGGGGAGCTGAGTGAGCCCATGGGGATGGCAGCTGGGTATGCAGAGATTGGGTCGCTGCTGTGGGAATTGGAGTGGACGTGCATGTTGTCAGAGAGCTTTTCTTCCACGCAGCGAGCGCAACGGACGGCTCCGCACTGGATACAGGAGTCGTAGAGAGACGAGTTGTGAGGGCCGAAGTTGCAGCCGCAGCAGTACCACAGAGACGCCATTGAGGTGATGAGTTGGATGAATTGGTTTGATATTAGAGGCAAGATGGATGATTTGACTGAGAGCAGATCGGAGTTCTTTATAGTTGGAGAGCGGGAAGGTCTGGCTGGCCTGATACTTTGGATCTTGATTGAGTTTGAGAATGGGAATTGGATTTAAGCATGGGGATCATTGAACGCTATATACTGTGAAGGATTACTTGAGACGTAATATAGAACCAGAAGCGCAAGGCAGCGTTCCTAGAACAGTCAACAGCCCAGGCTGCCTTGCGATTCCACATCGGGTTAAGGGTAATTTTTACCCGGGCAGTCACTGGGGCGATGGAGGGAAAGTTGTGCTTGTACATCATCCGGGGAGATTGCCCGAGGAAGTGGCTTAGTGTAGCCCGGGGCTCTGCTATTGCCCAGGCCAATGAGTTGCGTCTAGAATGTAAAGAATGTGTGAATCATTTCTGAAGAGCTGGCGTTTTGAGTCAAACGGGTCCACTATCCAGGGCTAAGCAAATGCCCACACCGTCTCGAATTAGCTGGCTCACCCGGGAGAATGTATGGGTGTCAACGGGTTCTGGTGACGCGGGTGCCCCGAAAAAACGGTCTACATTCGGTGTCATAAACTCGGATTCCTTTTGAGATAGATGCCTTGCGAAAATGAATTCGATCAATTGGTTTTCACGGCGTGCCGTATACTCCACTCTTTCCTAGATTTCCAGGCAACGGTTGCTTGAAAACCAAAAGAAAGAGTCATCGGGGTCAGCTGCCCCGGCCCTCGCTGTGTTGCCTAAGTCACCCAGGCTCTAGTTTCTGATACCTGAATATGCAAAATACGTTTCATCATTGATGTTTGGGATTATTTTTCCTCGAAACTAATTACGAGATCCTGTGAGACCCGAAGGCTGATTTCTAATTTAAATTCTCACCCGTAGAAACTCCGTGGAATACCCATGCCATGTGCCTTTTTAGATACTATATCGAGTTTCTATCGAGTACGACCGTAACACCGTCCAGATCTACAAAGGGGAAATAGCTGGAGGTGGTCTGACACTGTTAGGCCTTATCTCACGGTCGCAGCTGCGATCTGTAGAATGAGTAATAGTAGGTCCAGCCACTATTTCCCGTATCAAGATGCTAGCTGAGGTCGTGAGAGGGTGCAATCTGTATGGATTGTCCCAAGGTCCTCCCGATGCCTCGATCCATGGGACCCGAACGGGAACAGGGACAGCTCCGATTACGTCAGGTTTGCACTGTTTGATTCAACCTCTCCGCGACTCGAATCCGGTTCCTTGCAACCTCCCAGGATTTGTTAGATCCATGCATTTGATATTGTTGTATTGACACCGCATATATGGCGTCTCCCGTGCAGAAGCGCGTCAACGTCGTAGTATCCAGGCTCATCCCGCCCGTGTTGCTCGGCGCTGTGGTATACGCTTCATATGCGGTCACGAAACCATTATGCAGTGAGTTTCGCGCCAGTTTGGTCGAGGTCCTCTTGACTGGGAAACTAACGATGCGAAATCCAAGTCGACTATTTAATTCATCCGTTACCCTCCTATAACCGAGGCCCGCGAGCCGGTGCTGGCGCCGCGATCATCGCGATCTATTATGTCCTCTTAATTCCCATGGTCGTTTCATACCTACATCTTTATTATCATGTCATGTGGGATCCTGGATACCTCCCCCTCGGCGAACAAAAATTGGCAGATGACGAAAACGCAAAGCAATTAAAGCGCCATCGTGGGAAGAAAAGTTCGCGCAAAGCCGATCCGGAGAAAACAAACCAGGCAGACGCGGATGTGGAAAGAGGCTCGATCTCAACTGCTGTAGGCATCCCAGTTCAGTCAGATGGTTGGTTGGAGAGTTTCTACACCAAAGATGTCTTCGTTTGCCAGGAGGACGGCCGCCCTCTATGGTGCTCTACATGTGGTCAGTACAAGACAGATAGGGCGCACCACTGCCGTGAGTTGGGTCGCTGTGTGCGCAAAATGGATCACTACTGTCCTTGGTATGATAAAACTATGCCCCTCATCATTTTCGGTGTTTGGCTAACAAAATCCAGGGTTGGAGGCGTCGTCTCGGAGACGTCGCTCAAATTCTTCATTCAGTTCGTTTCTTACACTGCCATATTCTGCACTTTCGTTCTTATAGTATCTGCTTATTATACAGCGGAGATCCGACGCGAGGTGGGACATCCGCGAAAGACCATATGACCGCTCCGAGTGCTTCTTACTAAAATTTCAACTAGACCGGAGGAGCAAATGCCTACTGGTGTGTCTGCATTGGACTGTAAGTGCCCACCCACTGAATACTAGAGTTTGTACCAAGTCTAACAAAAACCACCAGGAGCGGCCTGTTCGCCTTCTTCACCGCCGGAATGACACTCAGCTCGGTTCAAATGGGAATCTTCAACATTACAACAATCGAAAACCTAAACCGGCGTAGCGCCGTCTGGACTCTCGCCGTCCGTGTCCCAGAATACCTCCTCGAGCGACTATGGGCAGCCGAGTCCCCCTGGGCTCCAACATTCCGCATGGTCTCCTACCCTCTTCAAACGCCCTCGTCCCCCACCGGTCCACAAACAACAATCCCTTCACAGGGCGAACGCCACGTCTTCGCCATTCTCCACACTCTGCCGGGCGAGAATCCCTTCGACCTGGGCAGCCCATTGAAGAATCTCCAGCAGGTCATGGGATACAATATCGCTGATTGGCTGTTACCGATCAAGCAAAGCCCGTGTGCCGACCACAGTAGCAATGAGAGCCATTTTGCGATGGGGCCTGTAGTGACCCGCTTAAAGCTCGAGGCTGGACTGGTCCCGCCCGAGAACGGGGCTGTCCCACAATCCCCACCTTCGGGGCGTAGCCACCAGGAAAAATCCCCTAGCGATCAATAGTTCGGGGCGCTGGTTTGTTTCGTGCATATTTTGGATACCTTTATAATTAATGCAGCATGTCTTCACCTTACTCACTTTCATTGGCCGGCCTGTGTCAGCTTATTTATTTTCCGATAGGCAGAAGGCCACCTGCCGGGCAAGTGTATGTTGTAGGGCTGAATTTTACTATGACGTACAGGCCTCCCCCGGGCAGCAGTTCATTGACCCTTTGATACTGAAAACTTGAGCCATTGGATGGCAAATAAGCCAAATAAGGGAAGATATTGGCCAAAAAGTATGTCCTCCTAGCACTGATCGGGCATTTTACGACGCTTTACTACGTTTTACTACGCTTTCCTCGGAGGTATCTCATTCAATATCCCTTCACCACTCATATTGATAGGTTCATTTTAATCCAGTCATATTTATGAATTTATCAATAATTCACTCAGCTATCTGTACTCGCCACAAAGAACCATGGAATGCCCGAAGAAAAAAGTTACCTCCATTTGAATATCACGACATATATGTGAAGAGAACCAGTAGAACGCAAGAGCATATGACGAAATCCTTCGCCGAGATAATGCTATTGGATTCATTTAAGGCAAAACATCCTAGCAATACATTTGATATATGCAACTATATACGTTTTTAGTCCGACCTTTCGGTCTGCCAGTTGGGTCAATAGCGTTTAGCCAGGTTCCCAGAGAACTCAATATCTTTATCTATGATCCATCGCCGTTGAAGATATAATCACCACTATCTTGGAAAGGGAGAACATTAGTCTAGTCCACAGATACATTGTAGCATCTCTTAAATGTAATGGACGAAATATATATATCGGAGGTTAACATAGGACATGCTCTGATTCCAAACAAAAATTTAAACAAATGACTACCTATCTATACCCTTTACAGCACCTGAACATTTCCAGGATCAACATAAAACAACCGTCTATAGCATATCGAGCAAGACCCTAAGATGTAGCAATACTCAATGACACCAAACGAAACAACAATCAATCAAAAGAAGAACCAAGGAATGCGACAACCAAAAAGCAACGAACAATGGATAGGAAAGAAAAAAAAAAAAAAAAAACCAAAAGTCAAATACCAGACGCATACCAACAAGCTCCCGCACAATCTATGCCGGAACATTCTCGTCGCTGCAATCCGGACATGGAACATGGGAGCAGATAGAACACTTCTCCGGTGCCAGATGAGGATTGGTCAGATTCTTGCACTGGCAGCACCTCTTCCATACCGGGACCAGTCTCGGGGCCCCGGTAGACAGGTACTCGGGCGTGGGCGTGAGTATGGAGATGGCATCCGGGAATGGAGCCAGAGTTGATCGTGCACGCGATATCAACGGGCTACTCATAGGGCAGGCATAAGAGCAATTGTTAGGCTGGGTTAAGTGCCAGCCATGAGAAAGAGGAGATGAGCTCTGTCCTTCGCTGTCGGTCTCGGTATCCAAAAACGTGTTGAACATAGCGCTTGGCATGGAGTAGGCAGACATGGTGACTTAAAGTATCGAATGAATGAACCAATTGGTAGAGAAGATAGTTGGATCTGTGAGATTTTGGAGCTTCTGAAGAAGTTGACTGAAGGATTGAAGCTGTATATAGAGTTGTCTCAAGGTGACTCGGAGTCTGATTGTATGAAGCAGTGTAGAACTTGTCAAGGCCTGCCATGATCGACCCTCTTTATACCACAGTACCGATAGACAGGCGCCCGTAATTAGGGCTCCCATTGCAGCACGAAAAGTCCACGTAGAGAAGCCCGCTCGAAACCCGAACTAAACAGGTGCAACTGGAACGGCCAAAGGGCAACGACCATAGGGTCAAACCCCCAATGCAAGGAGGGAAATACCCATCGGGTAAAGAGATAGATCAATCAGTAGTCGGCAGTGCTTAAGCAGAAGTGAAGCAAAACCGGAATCAGCCAGCCAGAGCAAGAGAAACTGCATGGCGGCACACCCGCCTATTTGACACCAGCATATTCACCCGCGACCCGGGTCGTGCTTAGCCAGTGCTGCGCCTAGAAAACCACGAGCTGGGTACTGGAACCATGTACGTTAAGGAGAGATGCAGCGAGACGAGCAATCTACAAGTTTTAGTCATTAGCGCTGGCCTTAGTGACTGGGCACATACCGTTTCCGGGAGATTGTCGGGTCATGATGGGGGGTGTACGCGTATTGCCCGCTTTCTACATGAGGCGGGCCATCCATATTGAAGATCAGAGGTAAGGCTTCTAGTACTTGGTGACCGGGTGGAGACATATTCCACAATGTAACTGGGTTTTTGGGCGTTTAGTTGCAGTGACCCGGACTTTTGTCTCGTGCGGGTTTCCTGTGCCGAGTCTGCGCCTCGGTTGGGGCGTCTCCAGCTCTTTGCCGCGGGTATGGGGGTGAATCGGAATGAGCCATTTTGCCCTGCTGGGTGGATTCTATTTGTCTTGTTCACTAGCTCTTGTTGGTCGGTTGAATCATGGTGGATGATATACGCCAAGACATTATCCATACAATGTCCGCTGCTCATGGTAAAAGATGAACCCGTGGGTAGTACAAATTCGTGTATGAGCCTTGGGTGAGCAACGTGGCGGCAAGGGGTGAGATTGGGTTCGTATATCGTAGGGAAACCCTTTGATGATATTATGCTGGACAGGAACCTTGGTATCAAAGTACCCAGGCACAGGCGTGGGCTCTTATCAAGATAAGACCTGCATTTTACATTGGCCCGACCGATCATAGATAACCTTGGGAATGTCTGAGTGAGACTCGTTGGAATTTTGTTGAGACTGTCCAATTGGAGATCATGGACATAAATACGTTAATCATAGCCTGTGGTGTTCTTACCGTCCAACCTACAGAGAGGAAAGACAGGCGAATTCCCTGAACTCAGATGCTTATTGAAAGAGTTGCCTGATTAGGTTTTCGGATGGTTAAGTGACCTCATCCTACTGGAGAGATTAAGCTAACTATCCCAATTGCACAGCATCTATGTTGTCCCTAGTCTTCTACGTAAAAAGAGTATAGGAACGTGTCTACATGGGGCTATAAGACCGACCGATTACCCTTGAAACAAGTTAAAATAAAACGATAGATATATAAAAAATAGAGGACCAAGGAAAAATGATCAGGTTTCCCCTTGAATATTGTGCGAAAATGACATGAATTTTTCTTCTCTTAGGATGGGGCTCAAGTGATATCACAGCTCTCAAACCCACATCTCAGGGTTTTTACCCGGGCGAAACAAAAAAAAGAGGCTCTAGGGAGTGTTTTGCATATGAAGCAAGGGGAGTTTCATCGGGACCATATGGCATCCACGGTTGGCAGTTTCAGTTTCCGCGGTTCAACATTCTAGATCCATGGATAACGCTATTTATACATATTCCTTATTTCAAGGTTATTTCTATGTGTTTCGCTTCCACTTCTTTTACAGACACAACTCTGGGAATCCTTGGCGTTCTTACTAACCTTTGTCAAACCCCAACCCACTTTTGCGTCATTGTTCACACGTTTCGTTCCAACACTCTGAATCCCCTCCATTGTTGAGTTGGGCAACTATTGGGCTCTGGGGTTGTCAAATTCAGCTCCAATCTCCTCTTTTACCGAGTCTTTGCCTCCGAGCCAACCGAGTCAGTTGGGCATTCTACAAAGCCCGACTCGGGTTCTTAAATACTCCCTCGAAGCCGACCGAAGAACAAACCGTCACACCTGACTCCAAACTGGTCAAGTGTTGCCATCATCTATACCCATCGCATCTATCAAAATGTCGAGTCACTATCGAAATTTGTCTCCTAGTCGAGGCCGACATTCCATGGTTGATCCTATGAGAGCTTCGACCGGCATGGTGCAGTTAAACTCATCCTACGATCCTTATGATGCGCCCAGGCGTTACGATTACGACGACTACCCGTCCGATACTGGATATTCAAGTGCGTTCGGGTACCGCTCAGGGCAACCAGCAAAGCTCGAAGCCCACCAAATATCCTCGCACCGAGTTCGAGACCCCACTACGTCTGCCAAAAAACGCACTGAGTACAGCGTCCAGCCCCGCAATAGGCACAGAAGCCATACAACAACGGCAGCGGACTTCGAGACACCAGTGCATCTTGCTGTACCTTCCGCATCACGTCAGCATCTCTCGCCCGTCCACCACTCATCTTACCGCCGCACCCCGAGCCCTCTTCCCACAGATTCCGGTAATCACATAATTTCTGCTTCACCTCGACATTCCGCACATCGCCGGATCTACAGCACCGACTACGCAAGCGACGCTGGCCAAATTGACCCAAGGAACAGTGCCAGACATAGGACTAGTCACAGTGCGCATCACCACCGTGTCCATCCGTCGACTCGTACACGCTATCCAGCGTACGACGGGCTAAGGAAAGGTGATGACATTGATGATTTTGACGCCTATTCATACACCAATGCCCGTGAGCAGTTTGACCGGGACTACCCTGTCAAGGTGCGCCATCGTGGACCTGATCAGCGGCTCAGTATCACTGGCGCAGAAGACCTCCAGTGGACATCGCGGAGAGAACGTCATCATGGCCCACCCCCAACATCGTGGGGTCTTGACAAGCTAGGTCGTGAACGGCCACGAAGCTCAGCGCATGGTAAGGATGATCATCGAGAGCCGCACAGATCAAAGGATGGATTCCACGATCAAGCCCTGGTCGCCGTACCTCAAGACTCTGACAGTGAATACCCCTCCCGACACGACGAGCGCCGCCGCCGCCGTGCGTACAGAGCGCGCCACGCAAATGATCGAGAGTATCAATATCCAGAAGACTACCATTCTAAGCCACATGACTCGGGCGCGCTCGCTACTATGGGGCTTGGAACAGCGGCCTTAGGGGGCGGATACTCCGACATGTCGGACTTTGAACAACGTCGCCCGTCACGACACAAGCATCGACGTGCACATGGTGAGCACGACCGCAATGCCGTCAAGCCTCCTTCGCGGGAGCTGGTAGAGGCAGTCCCAGCGGATGAAAGAACCAAGCAAACCTACTTGGACCCCGCCGATGCTCATCGTCACGGTCGAACACGACGCCACTCCCGCCGGCGGACGCACAGCGACGACGCCGATACGTCAGACGACGACTTGCGTAACTACAGGCGTGAGCCCGCGCGCCGAAGACACAGCATCACCGACACAGAGAGTGACCGCGACCCCAGTAGGGACCGCTCGCATCACAGGCGAGAACGAGAACGAGACCACTCACGTGGATACCGCTCTTCTCAGGCCCATCGCACGCCGGAGGATGGCCACGCTATGGAGTCGCGACGATCGCCGCCGGTCGACACGGCCAAAGATGACTCCAGAAGACCTATAGCTGTCGAACCGGCTGCTCCAAAGGAGCCCGACGCACCTCCCAAGGGGATCCTCAAGGCCCCGCGTCCGGCCTTCCCAGAGGAGCCCAACCCGGTGAGGGAGGGTGTCGCTCCCCTCAAAGACGCTCATAAGCAAGGGATCCCGCCTGGAGCTCGATGGACGAAGATTGACCGGCGACTCGTGAACCCAGAGGCATTGGAAGCTGGCAATGAGCGGTTTGAAGAGCGATCGGATTATGTGATCGTTTTGAGAGTCTTGAGTAAGGAGGAGATACAGCAGTACGCTGTGAAGACACAGGAGATCAGAGGTGAGCCCCCATGCCTATTTATATCTTACAACCACACTTGAAGTGGAATACTCACAATTGAATCACGTAGACATCCGGCACAAGGAACAGCTACGCGACAGACGCAAGTCTAGAGATGAGGCTCACCGCCACGGCCGCCGGGGCGAGGAGTCTTCCAGCGACGACGAGGACGAGGGTGAAGAAGAGCCCTGGAAGCAGCTCGAAGCAGCCGCTGCACCAACCACACCGAAGATGTCCTTGCCATCGCGCCCACGCGCTTCGACCAACTCAATGCATGAGGCTGAAAGCTCTAGAATGAATAACCCCTCTGCTGCGCCGGCGTAGGGGATTCTTTCAATCGAGCCTTGGATGTGCCTCGCAGGGCGAATTGATTCGAGCCCGTTGAAACCACAATGGCGTTTGGCCAGTGCACGGGGGCATGGAAACCGTCGGTTCTCATTTTGGCTTTCACAAATGTAACTAATGTACCTATTCATCTGGGGAGGGAGAGCATGCGACAGGCCCCTGCAGGCCAAAGCAAGCGCCCGTCCAATTTATGTACCTTCCAATGTACTCCGTACATACTCATATCAAAGTCGAGTGTCCTTTCCTCTTCTGGGTAATTAAAGACTTACACCGCTTCCACACCACACAAGCTATGACCGCGTTGGGTGCACTTCGTACGCACCTGTCATATTGTTTGACAGGACGTCCAAGATCGACAACGCCTGCACATGCAGCGTAACACGCCGCTCGTTTCTTTCCGAGCCAATCAAGTCCCGACGGTTCTGATTGCGGAACCCAACGATGATCAGTCGCTAGGCCACCCGCGCCCGCATCCACAGCCATACCCATAGCCACCCATATTTGGTCCAATACAACGAAAACGAGTCTAGCTCCGAGTCGCGCGGCTCATTGGACGGATCGGCATGGCATTTTTTTCCGCCCTCGCATGAGCTACCTCTTCAGCTCTGGTGCTACCCTCACCTCTTGTTAGATCGATATGAGGTTTGCAGATCTATAATCTAGCCATATCATTACGAGATCTGGAAGGAGCAGAGGAAATCCTGGAGATTGGGCTCCCCACATCCATGTTGTATATGTTTACCTCATTAGTTGGTATGTGCGTCTGCACCTATGGAGAGCACGAGAGCGCTAAGGAAATACAAATCAAGCGCCCTTCCTAAAAGCGCAGGAAGGAGCAAAAAAAAGCAAATAACGCCGCGCCTGCAAATGCAATTGTGTCAGGATGGAATATTTCCTTTTTTCTGTGTTCTTGAGAGCACGTAGTCTCATCGGGAATTATCCAACAGCGCCTAAATTCTAAAGGTCGCATTCCACGGCTGATCATTGAAAAAGTAAACAAACTACCAATCGAACTGGGGAAAGAAATGGAGAAAAAGAAAAGGGGGACACTCAGATTATTGTAGTTGCATAGTGGCTGCATGTTCTAGACATACGCCACTGGCTAAGATTTAGGGGGGTTTCTGTGTTGGATGTCGGAATTCGGATTTGGCCGGTATTCTGGTGATGGTGGAGATTGAGAATGAGGCATAAAATTGAACATCAACTCCGTACGGAGTACAGATTTCTAAGCCAAAAAAAACTTCTTACGGGCTACTTTATATGGAATATCCGGAGTAATATCCGGCGTACGGAGTACAGATCTCGCTTTCGTGATTATATCTTATTAACTAGTACGAAATGAGCTACTCCTCCCCTGATGGAGGCTCCTCCCGCCTACTTCCCATTATTGTTTAGCTTGGGGTTTGTCCGGGCGAATAGTAACAGCAGAGCAAACATAGGTTGTGCGTACGGCGTAGACTCCGTGGTTATAACTACTCAAAGACGGAGTCAGCATTACAGCACTAGTATCAGTTTAGGCGCCAGTATTGGCCAAGTTATTCTGTATAGTGTACACGGTTGTACACAAAGGGTTATTGTAGCGTGACAAGAGATTTGCTACCTCCGTACCGTCGGAGACATTCTCATCACGGTCGAAGAGTCGCCGAAACCAGGCTTGATAATAAAAAGCGCTTATGCATGCTATATGCGGCATTTAATATACCTCATGTAGGCTAGAAAGACCAAGAAATAGTGTACGTAGTATCTGTCGTAGAGCATCACCGATATGCTGCACACTACGGCATATACGGTCTACAACATACGATATACGGAGTACTATAGGCAGAGTGAACGAACCGCACGGAGTATGGAGTGCTCCAGATGTGAAATCACATCCGATTTGCGAAGCCAAAATCCGCGAAGTGGACCATTGTCTGTGGATGGCGATACAACCCGGGTAGTAATCTATGCACGCGAGTCATGGTTGTGGCAAAGGAGGAGAATGACTCCACCTAGTAAGCATGTATAACAGCGTATGATAGTACACTATAGACAACAGTATGAGCTAAAGGTTGACTTGGAATCTTGAAAGTCGATCATATGAAACCAAATCAAGGAAAGTGGAGAGAGCTTGTTTCTGGGCACAGGGGTTTGGGGTCCGTGTGCTTGGCTGTCGGGATGCTAGGATATTGGATTGAGTTATTTATATTATACATCTTTGAGGGGGGGAGAGATTATCCAATCTGGTCTTTTTCCTGTAAATTGTTCATATACAGTGCTTACCTCCCTAAAGATTAAACCTAGGAGAACGTGCTGATCCTTGACACGATCTTCTAGCGTCATTGATTTCTAATTGCCCTTTCCCCTTCCCTTGGCCACTCCGTAACTCCGTACTCCGGATGGAGTATGTCCGAATTGGTTACGATCTCAGCTAAACCGTTACGGAATACTTCAATAAATTTTATTTATATTGTACTCCGTATTTACGCCTCAAAGATTGGCTGCTACCCGAACCTGACCAAGATCGTCATAACACATGGGAACAAAAGCCAAATAAAAAAGCAAACACAACTCACTTGACCTGCCTCTCATCTTGACACATCTGACATTTATGTATGTTGTACCCGGATTGTGTCATTGTATTCCCAATGGGGCCGGGGGGCAAGAGATAAATTAGTTACGATCTACGGAGTAATGACCCTGCGCTTATCACACCTAGGCTTATTATAGGACGGGAAGGCCAAGTTCGGATTCAGATTATCGCCCGGAGCTCTGACGTATGATTACATGAGATAGCTACGATCTAATGCAACAGTAAACGAAGCTGATCACGATCAAACGGTGCAGTGTGCAGCTCAGTTCATGTACTCCGTATAATTCCCATGTGTAGGATTGGTCACCGGTATGGTAATTGTCATCCTCCAATCTCTGCAGCGATCAGCCTCGAAAAGTTTCCGTGTCTTAGACAGATAAAGAAGTCTCTTTTTAGGGATTTGTCCCACCAACCTGAAGATAGCACAGAGTTTCTGAAACAATGCGTCAAATACGGCCACGCGACGCACTACCGCACGCCCACATGCAGGTGTTAAGAATACCTTCCACATGGGATGGCTCACAAAAGCTTTCAGTTTGCGGTGAGAACTAACTTTTGGAGTATTTTGACTTTTGCTTATGGTTTGGGCTAGAAACTCTTTAGAAAAGGGTTCGAGAAAACATTCGGTCAATGTGAGCCGGTGGAAGGGTTGAAACTCGTATGTCGACACAGACAGAGTATAACATATCGTTGGAACTGGAATCCATTATGCACGTGCTTCGGTTACATTTCGATTGGATACAAATGATACAATCCTGGTATCAAATAGTATCAGTCGGACCCCGGGTTATGATCTTTCCCCGACTATTCTCATTCTCCGATCCCCCCAAGACTTTAGGCGGCTGGAGCCGGAATACGGAGTAAACCGGTGTGATCGTCAATTTGTGCGCTTGGCTGCACAAAGTACAAAACATCGAGAAGCGAGAGCTCGGCTAAAGAGAATAATAACAATACGGAGTACTCCATCGCACGTTCTAAGCTCCATTCTTCGGATCCGGATGGTGGGGCCGTCAAACGATCTATCGCCCTAGGTCTGTTGTCTATGGATGTTCAAAAGAACAAGTTGCAACGTAGGGAAATACGGAGGATGGGAACGAGTTAGAAGATCGGAGAGACCGATGCAACATTTTTGAATTGTGCGTTCTGTTTTGGGATGGCTATCATTTCCTCTTCTCGGCGCCATCCCGCTTGGTCCGAGGGGGCCCATACCCGTCTTAGGGTGATCCGGAGGGAATGTTTTCATTTTTCATTAATTCTCATCGGAATACAGTTTTGAAAGTTTGGAAAAAATCATTACCATAATTAGTACTATTATCATCGATAATAGGCTGGTTCTTCAAGGAATGGGAGCCGTTGACAGCCCTGGGGCAGATCATTGCAGACTAAGCAGACTAAGCAGGGTGGTCAATATCCGCATGGATGAAAGACCAGGGTGCGGCAACTTTAATTTGGGGGTCGAATTCTAAATGTCAGAAATCTACTCGGTATCTTGTGAGTTGGTTCAATGACAAAAAATCTCTCAACCCACCCATGCACCTCGGCAGGATCCATGGAGGGTCGCCAAGAGGGCCAAGACCATCAAGACTTCAAGTTGATTCATCACTCCGTAGTATAGCCCGACCCGCGATCTACTAGATTGTGGCTTGTAGCCCCTCAATTGCCCCGTGTCCATTGGCATATGTTTCCATACCACTCCGTATACTCGGGGCCGAGCGTTGATATTGACTGTTCGGACATATCGGTAGGGACATCTTGCCGACCTCCGATCCAAATGTATCTTTCCGGCATTGAGAGAGGCTTCTTCACAAGAAAATCTCTCACATTAGAGATGATTCTGGAGGGGGAGGGAGAGAGACAGCTCGCGTGCGTTACTGATAGCTGCAAGAAGTAAGGGCTGCCTCCCCTCCCCAGGTCAACGTGGACGTCGGTGCTTCAAACTTGGTTTGCATGATCATTCTTCTGTCGATCATGAAACAAAGAATCGAGCAATTGACTAAAAGATCACGGAGGACTCGTCCCGGGCATTTCTGCTTCGGGGTTCCAACCGGCGAATTTAATCGGTACGGAGTACATGCTCTGTCTACTTCTAGTCACTTGTATGATGGCGCTAGATGGCGCTTTTGAACTTTGATTATCCGCAGACAGCAGTAGCTCAAGGTCAATTCGCTGAGTCCAAGCCCCCCTTGATGATAAAGTGACGGCATGGACAGCTTCTCTTGCTCGATCGGGTTTAGGGTTTAGTCTCCCGCATAAGTGATGGAAAGCCCCAATCCAAACGGTGCTACCTGTTTCGCACGGGCCACCTGTGGTCTTTGTTTGTACATGACGTACACCTTATGGATCGACAAGAGATCGAGACCGACGGGAGACCGGCAAGAAAGGAAATTTAGTTAAGCGAAGTGCTCGA